CTCATCCCCATTGTCATGTTAATTACCTATTTGCTCTGTTTTGCAGGAGCTCAGCATCAATCAAAGCGTCTCCTAGCTTTTCATCTCACACAGTGCATCTCTACCTGTAATTAGGTTTGGGTGAGGCAGGAGATGGATTTAGTTAGCACCGTGCAGAGGGGAAAAAGAAGACATTAGGTAGTCTCAGTGGCTGTTCTGGGACCAGCCTTTAATGGTGTCTAACTGATCTGAGCTGTCGTGGGGCTGTGGCTTCATATGGTAGGAAGTTGATTATTCCTACGTGCCATCCTCGAGCTCAGCATTTTAGGCGCAGAAAGAGAGACAAGGTGGGTGCATGCATGTGTGCATATAGGAACGCGTGTACGTGATTAGGCACATCTGTGTAGGCAAATATAACAACAAACCGTTTTCTGCAAAAAGATGGGGGATGGGATCCTGGGTGCATGTGCACTACAGTGAGGCAATCGTAGATGTCTGTATTGCTGTGTGCACAAATGCGCGTACGTGTTGGAAGGGTAATTTTACATATGTGTATGCATGGTTTGTATTTACAGCAGCTAAGGAGAGAGAAGGCTGCTCTGCGTCAGAATAATTTAGCATCCAGATGTGCAGATGCCGGGGGAAATCAATACAGATGATGACTCTCTCAAGCAGGTGATGAGCATGCTGTCATAATGCAGTAAGGATGGAGACGGATTAATATTTAACAGTAATCTGGACTGAACAGATGGGCGTTGATAAAAAAATTGAGAGGTGTGAGCGCGAGTTCATATCAAGGATAAATATTCACAGAAAATTGTGTTATATCAATCAGAACAACTTGCAATCATCTGGTTAATTACTTTGTGCGCGCAGGATATCAATAAAACACTAATTGGGTACTTACCAAGACTAAGCATAAAGGAAGAATGAAAAAAAGAGGTGCGAGGTGATTTTTGGAAGGAAGAGGCAATAAATCACACTTTAAGTACTTCTTGGGGAACCTATTTCGTAATTACAGGGTAGATATAGGAAGGTAATTGTTAACATAAACAGATGCATTTTTCATTTACACTACTGCTGTAGCCTTTACTCAGTCATTTGGCATAGCCTGGAATTAGAGATGTGTGTCTTTTTTAGTCTATAACCATAAAATTGTTCTTTGTTTCAAAGGCCATATTTATGTTTTTTATATCATCATTAAATAACGCAGGAGAAAGTGTTGTTCTGTGGTTTTTATTTATTTAGAATCCACTTAATAACTGTGCATGGTTAAAAAATGCTTCATGTTTAACTGTTCATGAACTTTTCCCTGTAAGTATACTGAAGTTAAATTTAGGTTCCACACAGGTTCTACATGTTTGTTTGATGTATGATATATAGTAATTATTAACTTCGCATTCATATCACTGAGTATCGTACTTTCTTGATTATAGTCTACAGCCTTCATCTTGTTATCCTGATCTTGTTTTTGAAATGATTAGATTACATTAGTGATCAGATTACTTCAACGGAAGCTTTCCTCAGATGACAGGGCAGCATAATAAAAATGGATTAATGCTTGCGATGAATGAATTTAAAAAATGTAATAATACATTTTTGCACGCGTTAACTTCTTTGCGTTACAGACTGCAGGGACTTCCATGCGGCTCTGCTGACCTTCAGCATGAAATGAAAAGTGTGTGATGCCTCTGGTGTGTTTGGAGGGGCTTTCTCTTTTCCAGAAGATAGGCAGCCATGCATTATTGATTACAAAACACTCCTGCAATGCTATTTCATCTTTCTGGCGTGGCTGACCGTGAATTGAGCTTTATTTTAGAGTAGTTGAGATCTGTTTTATATCAGTACAAGGACTTTTTTTCCCAGCAGTTGCGTGTACTTGTTTGTACAATGTTGCCCCCCCTCACCCATTCAAAATCACGTGGGAGTCTAAATGGGAGATATGCAAAAAAACAACTGCCTTATCTTCTCCGTGTCCCTGTGCACAGTACACTGACAGACAATTGAAAGACAAAGGTACACAGAGGAAAGCCAGTGTGGTGCAATGAGAGGGTGAAATCCAATCTAATGGTTATCACACCAACTGCGTCTCATCTAACGACATTTCTTTGACATTATTTTGAGCCTCATGACATATATCTGTTCCACTTAGGCACCTTGTGTTTGCATCATGCACACATTGCACAATCTTTGTATACGTACTATGTCTGATACTGCCCTGCTTTCAAATGCTTGCTTTATCCTCATAGCATGTACATTGCTTACTGAGTTTTCTGACACTCTGTTCTGTTCTGCTGGTGTTATTTTGCACTACATGCCTGCCGGATAGCAACACCTCATCTTATGAATTCTAGTGTTTCAGACTGTGAAATGTTAAATATTCATTTAGCCGAATTCTTACGAATGTTCCATATTTTTATGATCCGCCTCCTCGCAGCTGCAGACTTTCACATGCAACAATCATTCAGAAGCCCCTCGTCCTTTGGATGTGTTTTGAATTTTCACAGTAAAACTAAACTACAGGATTTTTTTGGTTTTGCTTTTCTTTTCCGTGCAGAAAAGCTTGCTTTCTAGAGCAGTGAACCAGCCATCCAGAGAGGGTTGCTGAGCGATGGCCTTACCTCCCCGGTCCCCCGCCGAGGATGGTCACAGGGGAGGATGCCCATGGCGACCACGGCTGTCAAACGCTGTTTCCATGATGCCAAAGAATGATTGGTTTCATGGATCCGGACAGTGCTCTCTGACAGCACAGGGGGAGTCTCGGGTGCACCTGGGAGAAGAAACACTGGCAGCATGTGAAATGTTACTGAACAGGGTCATTGCAAGGGTCATCGTATGACCTGTCACCCCCCCCTCCCCGTCATCAAGGAATTTACAGCCAGGCCTCGTGCTACATGTTGAGAATATTAGGTCTGAATTTATCCTTTGTTTGAGCCTGAGTTATAGTCTCTGTGCTTTCTGTGAGGCTGTGGTGAATCTGCAGACAACAATGTCTTGGTTTGAAAAGTGAAGCAGCAAGGACACCGCTCCTGACAGCTGACGCTTCTGTGAATAGTCTTTTGTCATTAAAGTTCAACTACAGCGGCTGACAGCTAAGAAATCAAGGTTTAAATCTTTAATTGGGAGGGAGTTATTCACAAGATACCTAATTTGCGAAGTGCTGCAAACAAGCACCGCATTTCCAAGTCTGACTCATGTCTAGCCCAGTCTGTGGAAAAGCACTGCCAGTGCCATTGATTGTCAGTGGGGTTTTTTTTTTTTTTAGTGAGGCTTGTTAAGCATGAATGACAAAGCAAGTGATGGGACCCAACGACAGCAGCTCCCTCACTTTATTTTCCCTCGCAGCGTGTTTTTATCACACCGTGGCTTTAGCATATCTCTTAAAGATGTGGTCTTCCTGAGAATCCCACTGCCCCGAGCCCACGACAGTTTTAATGATTGATCACTTTCCTCTTGACTGTGGTGAAAGGAAAGTGAGGGGGGTGAATAAGAAAGAAAAAGGAAAGGGAGCAAGTAGGGGCGTGGACAATCCCACAAGGTCAGAGTGATGTGTCCAGGCTTTTGTTTTCAGTGGTGAGATCAGTGGCCTGCGCAGCCACGAGGGGACGTGCAAAGTAAGTGGCGGCCTGGCAGGAACAGATGTTCTTACACAATGAACATGCACTTGGTTGTTTGCTTATTCACTAAAACTCAAGGAAATGACTTCCCCTTTTGGAAACAAATAAAAATACAGACAAAAGTCGTTGCTTTTCCACCTGTAGGCCTCTGGGGAAAATGTTGCTGAGTCAATCAGGCTCATCCTTACATGCTGCCAAACACGTCTACAGAACAAAATGGCAACAGAGCAAAGCTGAACAAGCATCGTTTTCCATTAAAAAGCATGTATTTTGAATATTTTTCAAATTAGTAGGAGTGGTGCCTTTTTTTCCAATTCTGTGAGTACATGTTAGTCAATATGTTAGATTTGCATTTGGGTGTGTTTTCTTCTTCTACACTTATATACCGTAATGCCAGGATGAAACTTTGAGCAGGATTTATTTATATTTGGCCACAAACCTCTGCAGGGGTTTCAGTAACCTAAACAGCAATAGTCTTGTTCCTCTATTTTAGCTCCGAGCTCTGCTTCCCTGTGTTTTGCCTACTAAAATACAAAATAAAATAAAATCCTTTTGACTTTGTGTGAAATGAAAAGTGCTGCCATCAATACAAACATAGATTATTATCAGACAAAGACAAGCAAATGAGAAGCATGCATAGTCTTTAACATGCCCTTAGTCATCCTGGGTATATTTGCATGGGTGTGTGCACCAACTGTCTTTTAATTCAGCAGTGTGCCTGCACTGTAAAGTTCAAAACATTCACTAGATATCAAATCATTTGGATTCCCCGGAGATAAGAGTGAAGTATACAATCATTCAGGCAATGCAACATTTCACAATCATCCAGTTAGTGTCTTCAGGATTTTCGGCCCATAAATGACCAAAGCTATTCATAACTCATTGCTTCCCTCTGCTGGTGTTAAATTAAGCTAAAGTCAGATTACAACTTGTCTTTGAAAAATTATTAGGATCTAACATATTGCACGTTATGATATTTTTTTTTATCTCATACTCCTAGAGGATTTAAACTACGTCAAAAGCAAGTTTATAGTTGAATTAATGCAGAGCATTTTATGGGTGCTTTTATATTCTCTGCCAGCAATATTACACTCATCCTTTTACAGATAGGCTCTTTAATGTGTCACTAGCATTTTAATTCACTTTGTGGCATTTTCTCTCTTTTAGTGGGCTATTAAAACGTTCCAATCGGTGTATCTGAAATGCCTAAGAAAGTGTGTTTTAGTCTGTTGGTCTGATTATTATTATTATCATTATTGTTGTTATTATTTTATTATTATTGGCCATTAATGAAAAAAATACCTCCTTTTTTAAAAAGAAAAAACATTTTGACGAATTTGACTGTACTTGTGTCTTGTTATTTTATCTTTTACGGCCCGTTTACGGCTAAGATAAGTGGCTTTGCGCATATTCCAAGCATTTCATAACAACGTAGCTTCAAAACTTGAAAGTTGCTGTTGTAGTACACAAAAAGTGAAGTACAACAAACCAAACAGTAGATGTCTCCCTAGTCCGTGCGGCTGTGTGTCTTCGCGAGGACGCTGCTGTCGACTGATGACAGAGTCGCCATTTTGAAAAGCAAATCGTTCACAGCACACCCACCCTGAGTACTGGAACTATGCCGCGGGGCCGGCCTCGCAAACTGAGAGTTCAAAGCAACGACGAAACAGGTAACAAGTGCCAAAATGCAAAGAATAAAATATATAGATAATGGGCTATCCAAATAACCTGCTATTGTTTTGCCAAACACCCCTGTAGCGCATATAATAACACTTCAATGTAGTGCATATAGTCCCCGGATATAGTATTGCGGGTGGGCTTTGCTTTGTACGGCGAAGGAGTGATTGAGGCGGAATGATATTAATAACGTTTCGGTGCCTCTTCTTATTGGCTTCCAGTCTAAATTGGTGTCCGCGAGGAGCGGAGCTCGGTGCTGTGTGGCGTTAGTTAATGTACGCTTTTTTTTTTTTACATGGAGTATACATTTATTAGTATTTCGTTGTTAGCATGTTGTTGCTAACTAGCTGGTTTCGCTATCGTTAGCTTCTTGGCTAACGCGCTAAAATGTTGGCCATTGTTGTTTTGATACTGTGAAGCGCTGTAGCGAGGCTGTCCAGCTGCCGATGCATATCTTGGAACAAGTTGTCACAACCGCACATTTAACACGACCCAAAGAAAATGTTTTCATGTGCTGTGGAAATGCATTCATTTTGCAATTTGATAACATTGTCAGAACACAAGGTTGTTAAAGCTGCTCGGTGGCCGCATAACTTAAACTGAATGTTACCCCGTGATCCCACTGATTGACGAGTAAACGAGGAGGACCCGACATTATATCAAACTTGATTGCTGGATTATACAGTACGACCCTGCCGGCGACTTAACCACTCCAGTGGACATGCAACACTTGAAATCAAGTTAAACAGGTGCATGTGTATAACTAAAAGCACATATGACATGCGATTGTAAATGAGCTGAAAAGGACAAATACTTTTATTAATTTCATATACGATCAGAATGATAACTTATGTTCACAAATATTGCTTCTAGATATGTTTAATGCTAATCTTAGACCTGACATCTGCTGTTATATCATAAATACACTATCTGAATGAAGAGTCATGTGACGTGTACAATATAAATGCTACCTACTGCTTGAATCCAGACTTAAAAGAAAAATATCCAGGCAACACATAACCTGTGTTAGTGAAGAGGTACAACATGTACTTTAGCTATCCTTCACAGGAGAAAGCCTCTTAAAGCACATTAAGATACTCATGTGTCACTTCTTGTGCTTGTCATCAGATGCGGATCCCAGTGAATCTAAGGCAGAGGGCTTCAGTGATGGGGAGCTCAAGGATAAGAAGTGCACAATATGCTCCCAGATTTTTACCACAGAGAGCCAGCTGCAGAAGCACCTCCGTGAACATGAGGTCAATGATAAGGTAGGTACAAGATGGATGTGTCAGCAGGACACAATATCTTGGGTCTGCTCACTTTAGATGTAGGTCACTGACGGTAATCCAGGATTTTAGGGTAGTTCTGGTAGCACTTTTTAAATTGATTTTCAAGCATTTAATGTCAGTTCAAATATTTGTTGAGTTGAGTGATGATGTCCAGGGTTTTAGTTGTTGTGTATTGTATTTGCTTGAAAATGATCTAGCCCTTGACAAAAAGTTGGGAACATTAAAAAAAAGTAAGCGACTACTTTAAAGTTGACGAGCTTAAATGTCAAATGATTTCTATTACTGCTAAATTAAAGTGCTTATTAAGTCATCACAGATTTTTTTTAGTTAAAATGACTTAGTTTACATAGTCCCGTAATTTAAGTGGGCACTACGGATAAAAATGCCTGTAATACAATATTTTTTTTAAATCCATTGAATTAAAGCTGGATCTGTACTTGTTTGACTTAAACCTCGACACTGTGAAAGTGTAGAAGGCAAAGCTACAAAAATGACGTGTTTGAATGACAAATTATAGACCTGACTGTATGATAGCACACCTAATATTTTAGCTAACATCTACAGTTTGTTACTAGAAACCCAGAACGTCCTCAAAATGAATTCCAACACCGATATTAGCTATTTGGCAATATATCTGTATCCTTTATTTATAACAGCTGATAAGTGAAGATTTTTAAGAAGTGAAGAAGATACAGGAGAAATGCCCATTAACCAAGTTATAAGTGTTCATGTTACATAGTTTGGCCATCAGAGGGCACTCTGCAAGAATGTTTGAAATACCACAACAACAACCAGTGATCTGAACATAGTCAGGCAGAATATGTTTACGTTTTGTTTGTCTGATATAGGGCTGCCACAAACATTTATTTTGATAGTCGACTAGTCACCGATTATTTTTGCGATTATTCGATCATGCATCCATTGGACGTAAAACGTACAGCATATTGCACCAGCATGCATCTGCTCTTATATAACTATCATTAGCTTACAGCTTTAAGTGTTTAAGGTATGTGCTAACTAAAAAAAAAGACAAGATGATAGTTTATTAAATTTTAATGAAATTTACAGATTGTTTTGGTGAAGTTTAATAAACTCCTTGCTATCTAAAATATAACGGGACACTGGAGTATATTCTTGAACATCTCACACTTCTGATAATCAGTGGTCTGCTTGACGTTTATTCAGCTGTGTAAAAACTATAACTTTAATCTCAGCCAAACCGATTTACTCAGGAACAAATAAAATACAAAAAAAAAAGCCAAACAATAACATGTTTAAGTTATCTAAGTGACTTATGTATGTTTAACCTGAATAGCGAAAGACGGCGGTGGGTTTGAAAACGATTTGCCGGGAGTCCGGTGTTCTCACGGACTCTAGTGAGCCTTGCCCCTGGCTAGTTATCGAGCTAGTGGGTAACAGACGTCTCCGAAAACGAAATATGTTCAACGTTTATTTTGTGACCCAGAAAGAATAATAAGAGTAATTTTAAAACTAACTAGCTGCCGCCATTGTTGGAAACTGAGCTGGGCTGCGCTATGAATTCTGGGACATAGATTCTTCTTCTTCTTCTTCGGGGTTTAACTGCAGCTGGCATCCTTGTACATGCAGTGCTGCCCTCTTCTGTTTCAGTCCGTTATTACACTCTTAAATCCTACGACTCATTCCTACGTCTTTTGGGATCTTACAAAGCTTCAAACGACGCGTCGACTATTAAATTAGTCGTCGACGATTTTGATAGTCGACGTAATCGTGACTAGTCGACTAATCGTGGCAGCCCTAGTCTGATAGAAAAAAATATCACCTGATATATCTGATTTTTAAATCGCCAAATACTGGTGATTTCTAAACCTGATATCAGTCAGGCTCTATCACACCCACTCTGGATGCTACAATATTAATAGTCAAGTGTAGCTTGTAGTCGATGCATACAATAAAAATAATTACTCTAAAATTATACTTGACCTAGAGTTTGCATAATCTGCAAAGTAGCAGATTAAAAGTACTGAATCTGGTCAACTCAAATGGAAAAAAAAAATCAAAATCCTTAAATAAAATTTTTGAAAAGAATTAGGCTAATTACTTGATTTAATTGGTTGGAGTATTAGGGTTTGTGATGATGGAAAAAGAAGAAAGTGTTAGTCTCATACCATGTGAGCAGGTGAAGGGAATGACAGACATGGTGTTAAAGCTGCAGTGGATGACCCAGCTACAGCTACAGGTTGCATTTGGGCCACTCTAGTAGCTTAACATTAAAGCTGGAGCTATCCTGGATGTTTCAGCTTGGATCATTTTTCACAGCGTGAAAGTTTAAACCTGCTGTAGTCTGTTTAGCAGTCTTAGCACAGGTCTCAACTTATTTACAGCCATTTACTTTGAAAGCTTCTGAAATGTACTTTTACAAACAGTCAAAAGACCATGGTTTCTCACCCTACCTTTCCAGTGACAGCACAGTAAATATTACTGTATGATGTCAGCTGCAGTCTTCCCTCTGTAGTTTCAGAGTTCTTTTTCCCACCTAACACATGTCATGCTGCCACATAGGAAAGTCCTAACATTCCTATTAAAGTTTCTGAAAAACATTAACTGATGTACAGATCCAAACAAAATATGAAATTTAAAGTTTTTGTCAAACTTTTCCCTAGTGCCTTTTTAACAGAGCAAGTGATTTTTAACATGTCTAAAAAATATTAGTTTTCTTTAAAAATATTAAGTTATTTATGTTTGCTCACAATAACACAGTTATTTAAGCAAAACAAAAATGACCAGGGTCACTAATATTAGCCCTCTGACAAACTGACCTTTTTATTTAGCCATAGTACAAACTACAGCTGTGCAGTTATGTGCTTTAACTTTGTAATGTTCAAAGCTTGTAAAGTCAAGTTAAATCTGAGGGTTATCTTCCCATTTACACACAGTAGAAAAGCTACAGAAAGGGTTTGAATTGTCACTTGAGAAAGTGCCAAAGACAAAGGAGATCATTTTAAAATTGAGAAAAAGAATCACTTATGCTAACACAGGAGGAGATGGATATACAAAGTTATCTTAGGCTGGCATAGATCGGACGCCAAAGATTTCAAAGATTCTGGAAAGAAAAATAGTAAGAGATGTGTCTAATGACTCAAGAACAACTGCCATGACGCCAGTAAATGACTTAGCCAGGTCAGGAATTGAAATCTCAAAGAAGCAGATGCACTGCTTATGTTTAGAGAAAGAAGGGAGAGGTGTACATCTCCACAGTGTCCCCTCAGTGTAACACGGTGGTTGGAGTATTAGGCTGTGGGAATCCTTTGGCACGTCTGGAACTGAGAATTTCATCAAGTTGGAAGGAAGAATGAAGGATATGTGAAGATTTTAAAAGAAAACCTCAAGCAGTCAACAACAAAACTTGTTTCCTTCCTTCCATTTTTTTTTGCAAAAAGCTGAGTTCAGTTTCTCTTGCCACACCCAGGCCTGATTAATGCCATACCTGTTCTCAATCAAGAAATCACTTTCTGACCTGTCTGACAAAGTGGAGTAGACCAAAAGATACTCAAAAGCCAGACATGATGCCATTATCCAAGTAAATTCAGGAACAAATGAGAAACAAAGTAATTGAGATCTCTTGGTCTGGAAAAGGTTATAAAGCCATTTTTAAAACTGTGGGACTCCAGTGAACCACAGTGAGAGCCACTATCCACAAATGTCAAAAACATGGAACAGGGGGGAAACTTCCCAGGAGTGGCTGGCTCACCAAAATTAATCCAAGAGCGCAGCAACGACTCATCCAAGAGGTCACAAAAGACTCCAGAACGACATCCGAAGAACCGGTCTCACTTGCCTCAGTTAAAGTCGGTGCTCATGACTCCACCATAAGAAAGAGAATGGGCAAAAACGACCCGCATGCAGAGTCCCAAGACAAAAACCACTGCTGAGCAAAAAGAGGTTCATCTCAGTTTAGCCAGAAAACGTCTTGATGATTCCCAAGACTTTTGAGTAAATGCTCTGTGAACTGAGGAGAAAAAGCTGAACTTTTTGGAAGGTGTGTGTCCCACTACATCTGGCATAACAGTAACACAGGATTTCAGAAAAGGAACATCATGCCAACAGTGAAGTAAGACGATGGTAGTGTGATGGCTAGCACCTGAGTCACCACATAGGACAGAAAGTATTCTTGAAATAACATTTTGAAAACTTCTCTTCACTTCTTTATGATCACGTATGGCGATGTTGTATGAAGCGGGTACACTGTGATAATGGTTGTGTTGGTGGTTTCTCTTGGTGTAGGATAATTGGACTGCGTTCCTTGGGAACTCATTCTACATCACATTCATTTATGCATTTTAAAGCACTCGCAGCACTCACATCTCTGCCTGCTTCACTTCTTGCTCGCTTTTGGTCACACTCCCTCTCTCACTTCTTTATTCTCACTTATATTCTCAGGATCTCACACATTGCGCACAATCACAGGCAAGTTAAGGGATTTAGTTCTTAATGCCATGCTACTGAGGAGAAAGTTAGAATAGAGAGACCGGGAGCAAAAAGATGTCAATTGGAGCTTAATTCGTTTCATTTGCAGCTGCACCTGTAGCTCTGGGCCATTTAAATTTCAAGTCCATTGCCTTTGCTCCCACTTTCCAGGTTGAAGAGCAGTGGCCTCTGAGTATGCCAGAGTGAGTAAGACTCAACTGTGTCAGTACCACTCTCAGACTTGACTAGATTCAAAAAAGCACTCTGAAATGAAGTCAGCTTGTTCTCCTAATAGAAAAGAAATTTAATATTGGGGCCATTTTTGCCTCATGGGGATTTTTTTCCTTTGCCTGTTAATATACAGTACTCTCTACCCTTCACAACAAAGCAGTTTCTTAATTTAGACAAAGTAGCACATTGATTGAGATTCAGCTGTTCCATCTTGTCTTTTTAGTCTCTTCTCTGTCTCCATCTGCCTTCACATAGTGACAGCAGCAACAAGAAGCTCACAGCAGAAAGTCATTTTTTTCCATTCTTTCATTTCTCTTTCTCTTGCAGCCTCATCGTTGTGACCAGTGCTCACAGACGTTCAACGTGGAGTTCAACCTCACGCTACACAGGTCCACACACACTACATCGGACTTCACCTGCCCCGTTTGCAATAAGAAGTTCTCTCGCATCGCCAGCCTTAAATCCCATATCATGCTGCATGAGAAGGAGGAGGTAAAATGCCTCATGCTGTGGTTTCTGTGCATATTATGCACTTTTATTTCTCTTTTAGACTCCTTTCTACACTCAACAAAAATATAAACGCAACACCTTTGTTACTGCTCCCATTCCCCATGGGATGGACGTAGAGACCTAAAATTCATTCCAGATACACAATATAACCATCCCTCCCAAACAGTGGTCACAAATCAGTCCAAATGTGTGGTAGTGGGCACATCTGCTATATTGAGATAATCCATCCCACCTCACAGGTGTGCCACATCAGGATGCTGATCTGACATCATGAGTAGTGCACAGGTGTACCTCAGACTGCCCACAACAAAAGGCCACCCTGGAATGTGCAGTTTTGTCTCACAGCAAAATGCCACAGATGCCACAAGCAATGAGGGAGCGTGCAATTGGCATGCTGACAGCAGGAATGTCAACCAGATCTGTCGCCCGTGCATTGAATGTTCATTTCTCAACCATAAGCCGTCTCCACAGGCGTTTCAGAGAATATGGCAGCACATCCAACCGGCCTCACAACCGCAGACCTCGTGTAACCACACCAGCCCAGGACCTCCACATCCAGCAGGTTCACCTCCAAGATCGTCTGAGACCAGCCACCCAGACAGCTGCTGGAACAATTGGTTTGCACAACCAAACAATTTCTGCACAAACTGTCAGAAACCGTCTCAGGGACGCTCAACTGCATGCCCGTCGTCCTCATCGGGGTCTTGACCTGACTCCAGCTCGTCGCCGTAACAGACTTGTGTGGGCAAATGCTCACATTCGATGGCGTCTGGCACGTTGGAGAGGTGTGCGCTTCACGGATGAATCATGGTTCACATTGTTCAGGGCAGATGGCAGCTGAGAATGTCCCAGTTCTTGCATGGCCAGCATACTCACCGGACATGTCACCCATTGAGCATGTTCGGGATGTGCTTGACCGGCGTATACGACAGCGTGTACCAGTTCCCACGAATATCCAACAACCTCGCACAGCCATTGAAGTGGAGTGGACCAACATTCCACAGGCCACAATTGACAATCTGATAGACTCCATGCGACGATGTGTTGCACTGCATGAGGCAAATGGTGGTCACACCAGATACTGACCGGTTCTGGGTCCCCAGACCCCCAATAGCGCAAAAAACTGCACATTCCAGGGTGGCCTTTTGTTGTGGGCAGTCTGAGGTACACCTGTGCACTACTCATGATGTCAGATCAGCATCCTGATGTGGCACACCTGTGAGGTGGGATGGATTATCTCAATATAGCAGATGTGCCCACTACCACACATTTGGACTGATTTGTGACCACTGTTTGGGAGGGATGGTTATATTGTGTATCTGGAATGAATTTTAGGTCTCTACGTCCATCCCATGGGGAATGGGAGCAGTAACAAAGGTGTTGCGTTTATATTTTTGTTGAGTGTATGTTATTGGTTTCCATTCTTGCAGAATCTGATCTGTGCTGAGTGCGGAGATGAGTTTGTTCTTCAAAGCCAGCTCTCTCTGCATTTGGAGGAGCATCGGAAGGAGCTCTCGGGCATCAAGGTCTACACCTGCAAGACCTGCGACAAGGAGTTCAAGACGTCTGCGCAAATAAAGGAGCATATGAAGAGTCACATCAAAATGAGGTCAAACAAGACACTTCAGGATGCTGATTTATTACATTTGACACAGTCAAGTGGAAAAGCTTTGGGTTAAAAATTTGGCATGAATCATGCAGCTGTTTAAAGAAAAATTCAAAGCATCGACATATCTAGTATTTTGTACAGACCGAGGGGTGTCTGATTCAGGATAGATGAATCTTTTATGAAGAAAAAAACATTTTTGCAAAAACAGTTTTAGGTGAATTTGCAGCTCTGCAGAGTGATGAAATTAAAGCACCATCTTTCATGGCGTTCATGGAAAATAAGTACATTTGTAGTCATTGTCAGATAATCTTTCATTTGAGCTAAGCACAAAAATGCTTAAGCGAGTCTATGCAGCTGTTCTCAAAACTCTCTGTAGCCTGTTACTGCTAGAGGCTAAGCCAATTTAATGCTTTATGCTACTTCAGAGCTATTCTTTTAGACATGGTTTCTATGATAATGTTAATTTGCAGACTAGTAACAAATATGCTACTTATTGGACTAAGGCCTGTTTTAAAGAAGTTCAATTTCCTGTAAGTTTACAGCTGAGTACTTTTAAAACTCATTAAACCATTCAGAAAGCACTTGTGTGTAATGCCACATACCATTTTGTCTTTACTTATAGAACAAACATTTGTTTGAATTGTAAAGAAAATACTTGTACACAAAGGATAATTGTCTAAATCTCAAACATAAGGCTTAAAAAACTGTTTTGTTGTATCATGAGTGACCTTCTGTGGTCCTATGTTAATGCACACTATATTAAACTAGATTTTTTGTCTCATGGTTCTTTCCTTTACAGGCCACTTACTTCTACTTCAAGAAACTACAAGAAAAACATAGATCGCAGTGGGTTCACAAACAGCTGCCATCATTGTGGAAAGGCTTTCAAAAAGCCCAGCCAGCTCATCAGGCACATCCGAATACACACAGGTGAGTGAGAATGGAAAAAGAAAAACCTGATTATGGTGCTTATATTGAGATTTAAGCTCAGAGCAGAAATACTGCAGAAACTGGAGGGTAGAATTTGTATCTACTTCAGGCCAAAACAAGATCCTTTAGGCTAATTTTCTTTGTTCTGGATAATGAATTTATAAACAAAAAAAAACTTTCGACAGCCATTCAGCATTGAGAAGAGGATCTAATTGTTTCTCCTTGATAGTTCACAGTGGTTTTAATTAGCTTAGATCAGTGGTTCCCAAACTTTTTTTGCTAGCCCCCCCCCCCTTTGTTTTACAAGAAAAAAGTGTGGGGCAGGAACCCACACTTTGGGAAGGTCTGGCCTTGATGTTAAATTAAAATATTAGGATGAGCATTATGAGTCTTATGTGAAGGAATGTAAAGTTTACAAAATTTGGAAAACTTCTGACACCTATTCACTCTGAACCTGTTAGGAAAAATGTCAGTAAAAACTAGGAAAGGGAAATGATAGAATTTAGTGATTCCATTGTCGATTCTCTTTGGGTTCTTATTGGCTCTGCTTTGAGAATCCCCAACATTGCTATGCAATGCTGTGTGGTCAAATAATTGTTCATTTTGGAGGTGTTTCCCCTTTTTGTAGTGACACAAAAAAAAGTAATATATTACAGATTCATACATTACACAGAACACTTTTATTAAAAGTAAAAAGTTATTTTACTGTTTTTCTATAAAATGACCTGAAATACATTGCATCATAATTACCAGTTAACAATATAAACCCACAGGCTACGTCCATACACACCAACACAAATTCCTATCCTAATGAGGACACACACATAATCTTTCTCTTAGTATTCAGGTATGAACACAGAGCAAAGATGAAAACCACCACAAAGAGACTGTCCTGGATGCAGTGTGCACTTAACTCTCTCCGTTTGTGGAATGAAAAAAAAAAAGTGCATACGCATGCAATGTATTTGTGCAAGTAGAAATGATAAGCGGGATCAATAGACACGCAGGCTAACTGTAAAAACTTCTCACTTTTAAAGTTTAACATGATGTTTATATCAATTTCTATTAAATATAGGGTAATTGATATAAACATCATGTTAAACTTTGAAAGTGAAGGGTTTTATAGTTTGTAGCAGACTGTAGGCTCACGTTAAATTGGATGCCAACAATACGTTTTTGTAATTTGAGTCTTCTTTTGAGGAAACTCTTATTTTAGGGACTGAGGAGATCAGCTGTTGTAGTTTTGAAAGCCAGATGTCTGCCATTCTTGCTGGTATAGCTTCTATAGTATTCAGCTACTTGTTTTATAATGTGTCAAACATTTGTGTGAGCAGAATGTAGCTGATCTATGTCCTGCTTTAAATAAGCAAAGGCTTCAATTATATAATCTGTAAACACCATTAAGCAAAGATGTTAATAAACCCCATGTACGAATGCACCGCCACCACTGATGCTGGCTACTGACCTGTGTGCTGGTAAACATCTATTCAGAACCCGTCAATAGTTTCTAAAACGAATTTAAAATCTAACCAAAGAAGCATTTGTGGTTTTAACTTTGTTTTGTGTGTGCACTGCAGTAACAACTTTGTTTACTGACACTGTTCCTCTATAGTGTTCTTGAGCCCTTGTGGTATGTGTGGTGGAGAGAGAGGTATAGATATTTCTCTGGCTTCTCTGAATCAGTTCTCTGAAACAGTGTGAGCGGTTGCTTCTTATATTTCATTTGTGAATGAACTTTGCATTTGAGGTTCCAGAAACCTGAAGAGTGAGTGGATACTGTCAGCAGCTTGAATTGATGGGGGTTCAGTAGCCTGCAGTGGACTTTCAAGGTGTTTGGAGACTTTTTGTTTTCTTTCATTTTGTTTTTAAATTTTATGTCCCTTTGAGGCACTTTCTTCCTGTGAATGCTGTCCAATAAAATTAAAATATACAAGCGATATATAATCAAGGACTTTTTTGTAGCTCAGAATGAGGGTTTGGGGGGTTTAAGCTATGCCACAATTGGCCCTGATATGGTTAAAACATGGAGTTTGTATTACCATTTTCTCCTGTTATATATGGGTATTTGATATACAAAAACATATTAAGACTTAAAACCACAGGTTAAAAATAATCCTGATGATTTTCTTTTGATGGAAAACTCTTTGGTAGCTACAAACATTTTTATGAGCAGGAAAAAAACAGCGCTTATTCTGGTTTTCTTTTCTTGTGCTCTTTCATATAAGGCTACAAATTCGTAAGTAGCTGCACTGCTTATCTGGAAAAACTGCACACCTTCAGCTGGGCCCATTGCTCAGCTGTGGTATGGAGAGATTGTGTGGGTAGAATTCGATGTTCCGTTTCAATTCAAATGTTCTTGTGGTTCCTGTGAACGTTCAGCCATCTGGGTTCAGGTTAATGTAGCCAGTAGCTGCCACCCACATGTTGTTTACCCATCATCCACATGTTAAATTGTTTGGCTGGGCTGAGCTGGGGGTTTTAATGCAGAATTGAATTGACTTCTCTTGTGCTTTGAATCTCAAACAACCTTTCAGTTGATGAGGTAAAGACTATAGAAACACACATTATGGTTCATTTGCACCTCTGTGGTTTGCAGTGATGTTGGAATGGTACAGGACTGTATTTGAGTCATCTTAATTTAGCTTGAATTAAACCAGCCTTATGTTGTTACCAAGGTGACAAAATTGCATGGTTGTACTGTAAAAAAAATTAGATATCCTACCACTGACAGTCACATATGTGGGTAATATTGTTGGACAAATTCTTATTGAAGCAATGCTGGTGAGTTTTTTAATGATCATACATTAAACACAACCATGTATTGTATAACATAATTACTATATCTCCAGGAATTGTTTTAATTTTGTTGTTGAATTTTCTGGAGATGACAAGGGATTCATTGAGATTGTATAAATTTGATATTATTATAAATATTGTCATTATTACAGCTTGATTCTTGACCTCATCGTGCTCTTCTTCTGCAGGTGAGAGACCCTACAAGTGCACGCACTGCGGCAAGGCTTTCAACCAGAAGGTGGTGCTACAGACTCACATGGTGAGACACACCGGGGAGAAACCTCACCTCTGCATGTTGTGCCCTGCCTCCTTCTCCCAGAAGGGGAACCTGCACTCTCACGTTCAGAGGGTTCATTCTGAGGTAAGAGCACAGTAAAAACACACTCATGGCTTCAGATGCATGTTTCAAGACTGTGTAATATATATATATTTTTTTTACTATTTAATTTGTAAAAATGTGTACACACACACACACACACACACACGTAGGAAAATATTTAGTATACACATCCAGAAATGCATACACTATTATATATTGTACATATATTTATTAGTTTCAGGTCGGCCATTCTTGTATTTTGCTCGTTTGTGTTGTTGTGTTTGCACATCTCTGTTGCTTGTGGGGCTCGCACACAAGAATTTCACTCGCATGTGCTGTGCCAGTGTGCCTGCACATGTGATGTGACAATAAAAGTGATTTGATTTGATTTTAATTAATTTGTTTATAAAGATTAGATATGGTCATTAAAGGGGAATTGATGCTATAATGTTTTACATTTCTGACATCCTGGTATCACATTGTATAGAAATGGTGCCAGTTTAATCTCACCTAAAGAAAGGTTTTCCTTGGGTGAAGTCAGCCATTGTTTTTATTTGAAACGGTTAATGAGCTCCTTGTTTTGTTTACTTGCAAGTTCCTTTTTAACTTAGTGAACCGACTTAAATTCAGGAAACTAAAACTACATTTCAAAGTAAAAGTTCTAAAGACTTTAAATGGTTTCGAGTTAAGGACTTCACACAAATTTATGTAAACAGTTAACACCCAAAACATCATGTTCATGAAAAGTTTACCAGCTTTCTACAATTCACTAGCATGTCTTTCAGTTGTACTGTTTCCCCAGATACATATATGTATTTTTTCTTGTACATCTTGATGAGCCACACACTAAATTGCCAGAACCTCTGTTCACAGCTTGTTATACTCAAAGCACGGTACTTTGTCATATTGTTTGTGTGTCAGGAAGGGCATAAGGTTCCTTGTTTGATTTTTCTCCTTTGTAAACACCTCGCAGAAACCATTTTTTGCAGCCTAGCTGATTTATCCTTCCTCGTATTGTCAGGGAGGCTAAATGGGGACCGTCAAGTCTTCCACTTAGTGCTACACTGTGGTTGAGGGGTCAGACGAAGGACACACATCATAGATCTCTCTGGGGACCTAAATTCTCATGTGTGTGGTTGTGTCTATTTCTCGAATTTATAAACTGAACTAGTTAATGGTTGGATTTAAAGAGGTGGTGGTATCTCCTGGTTTAATGACTACTTCCAGTAATGTGGCTACAAGCTGAACTAACTCAGCTCTGTGGCATAATGATTGTAAAGGTCCCTCAAAGGTCCCTCATCACAATGAGCAGCGCTAGGTGAGCATGAATGATGTGTTGTGCTTGCACACCAAGCCTTAAACTAATTTAGTTCACTTCAGCCAACCTGGCTGCTGAGAGAAATAGGTTTACCTGGGTCTTTTCTGTAGCACACACAGTCTGTACTTTCTTATAGTCAGAAGCAAGGAGGTGTAAAATTCTCATTGTTGCAGTCGGGTTGCTTAAACAATATAAATATAAATCAAGCTTAATTATGCACCTAAAGAAGAGATACAGGAAATTGCTACAAATATGTTAGCACATCCTTCTTTGTTACTGAAGCGGGGGCGTTTTAATTATGGCTCTTTCAACAGATTTTACTGATTAATAAAAAGCTTCACACTTAGGTTAGTGAGCTGTCAGAGATTGGCAATCATATTAAATGGCTGGTTGTGGTCTGTTATTTGGATTGTGAATAAAAAGTGCTTTTGAGAAAAACGTTGCATAACTTTTTTGTCAGCGGTTCAATCGGTCAAATGAATTGAAGTGTGTGTTGTCTTACCTGCATACACCATTGTGTATTCCATGATAAAAGATGGTGATTTGGCCAGTTGATTGAACTGGAGAGCCCAACGCTGGACCCTTTAAATAATGCATCAGTTTTTCACAAGTTCTTTAGCTTTGCTTTTGTAGACAGTTTGTTCTTACAATTGGCTGACTTTAAAAAAAAAGAAAAAGTCAGGGGTTATTCACAAAAGATTTCATGCTTTGGTGCTTACTGAGGAGTCAGGGGAGAAAGTGTTTAATGGCATCCAAAGCCTTTGCTTGACACAGATTGTAGTGCTGAAGCTTTTGGAAAAAAGTCATTCTCCTGGGAATCTGTGATTTAAAATCAGCTGCAGAACATTAGTCGTTTCATTGATTGATAAAACACCAATTTACAATATGAGTATCATATTAACCTAATACTAATGAATTTATGGTATTATAATTTGTCTAAAAGCAAAGGACAGAATATTATGCATATGCATATAGGGCTGTTCGATATTGGATGACAACAAACGCTATCGTTTGTTTCGTGGTGTCGTAAAATAAACAGTTTACAGCAATATTTTTTTTCATCATTTTGATGGTCACTGCAGTGGCTATATTCATTTCTTAAAGTTCTCTCATTCTCTTATACAGTGGGGCAAAAAAGTATTTAGTCAGCCACCGATTGTGCAAGTTCCCCCACTGAAAATGATGACAGAGGTCAGTAATTTGCACCAGAGGTACACTTCAACTGTGAGAGACAGAATGTGAAAAAAAAATCCATGAATTCACATGGTAGGATTTGTAAAGAATTTATTCGTAAATAGGGTGGAAAATAAGTATTTGGTCACCTCAAACAAGGAAAATCTCTGGCTCTCACAGACCTGTAACGTCTTCTGTAAGAAGCTTTTCTGTCCCCCACTCGTTACCTGTATGAATGGCACCTGTTTGAACTCATCATCTGTATAAAAGACACCTGTCCACAGCCTCAAACAGTCAGACTCCAAACTCCGCCATGGCCAAGACCAAAGAGCTTTCGAAGGACACCAGGAAAAGTATTGTAGACCTGCACCAGACTGGGAAGAGTGAATCTACAATAGGCAAGCAGCTTGGTGTGAAAAAATCAACTGTGGGAGCAATCATCAGAAAATGGAAGACATACAAGACCACTGATAATCTCCCTCGATCTGGGGCTCCACGCAAGATCTCATCCTGTGGGGTCAAAATGATCATGAGAACGGTGAGCAAAGATCCCAGAACCACACGGGGGGACCTGGTGAATGACCTGCAGAGAGCTGGGACCAAAGTAACAAAGGTCACCATCAGTAACACACTACAACGGCAGGGAATCAAATCCCGCAGTGCCAGACGTGTTCCGCTGCTGAAGCCAGTGCATGTCCAGGCCCGTCTGAAGTTTGCCAGAGAGCACATGGATGATACAGCAGAGGATTGGGAGAATGTCATGTGGTCAGATGAAACCAAAGTAGAACTTTTTGGTATAAACTCAACTCGTCGTGTTTGGAGGAAGAAGAATACTGAGTTGCATCCCAAGAACACCATACCTACTGTGAAGCATGGGGGTGGAAACATCATGCTATGGGGCTGTTTTTCTGCCAAGGGGACAGGACGACTGATCCGTGTTAAGGACAGAATGAATGGGGCCATGTATCGTGAGATTTTGAGCCAAAACCTCCTTCCATCAGTGAGAACTTTGAAGATGAAACGAGGCTGGGTCTTCCAACATGACAATGATCCAAAACACACCGCCCGGGCAACAAAGGAGTGGCTCCGTAAGAAGCATTTGAAAGTCCTGGAGTGGCCTAGCCAGTCTCCAGACCTCAACCCCATAGAAAATCTGTGGCGGGAGTTGAAAGTCCGTGTTGCTCGGCGACAGCCCCAAAACATCACTGCTCTCGAGAAGATCTGCATGGAGGAATGGGCCAAAATACCAGCTACTGTGTGTGCAAACCTGGTAAAGACCTATAGTAAACGTTTGACCTCTGTTATTGCCAACAAAGGTTATGTTACAAAGTATTGAGTTGTATTTTTGTTATTGACCAAATACTTATTTTCCACCCTGATTTACGAATAAATTCTTTACAAATCCTACCATGTGGATTCATGGATTTTTTTTTCACATTCTGTCTCTCACAGTTGAAGTGTACCTCTGGTGCAAATTACTGACCTCTGTCATCATTTTAGGTGGGGGAACTTGCACAATCGGTGGCTGACTAAATACTTTTTTGCCCCACTGTATTTAATATAACCACACTACGAGACAGCCCTGTTTTTACGCGTTGTCGTTAGCAACAACGACGGTAAAACCACTCGCGCTGTCCGCTTGGTTTTCCACATAAACCTTTCACAATAAAGCTCAAGATCCTGTTGAGACTTTTCAAAATAAACTGAATCACGTGAAAGAGTATGCAGAGAGTTTACGGATGAGAAGCAAAAAAGAGCCGTCAGGTGCTAAAAAAATAAACCTTAGACTCAAACTTTGAAAGAAAATGGTGGCCGTTTCGACTTATGTCTAAAAATGTATAGTTTCATGCATCGGTTAAAACACTCGACTCCAGGTAAAGGACGCCCAGCTGGAAAAACTTCATGCAAGTCGAGTTGCCCGAGATTCACAGAATTTACAGAAAATATTACATTTTTGTGATTTATATTGTTGTCAGGGTGATAAATGTCTTATATCGGCATATGAGATTTTGGTCATATCACATAGCCCTATATGTGTATTCATTCACCACAATTTCACACCTTATAAGTTAGACTGATCCACTACAGCCACCTCCAGTTATAGCTGGCTTTTGACTTTTGTGAAATGGGAACGTGAACCTTGAACTCTGTTTAGCTTGCTTTTGCATTCTTGATAAAACAGTTTCTGGCTTTGTGAAAAACTTTATGAAGAACCAATGGCAGCATTACAAATGCCTTCCAAGGATTACTGTCTTAAAACGCATGCTGCTATTTCTTCATTTGATTTATATCAGCTAGTAGGGGATATATACAATGTATATGTAACTTGTACCCTGACACAATTTTCTCAACATTTCCTCTGCTCCAGAATCAACCAGGTAACAAGTACAGTACTGTGCAAAAGTCACGAGCTGCCCCCTTTAAAAAAATAATAATAAATTTTGCGAGGAAAATAGGAAATGGGTACACGTCATTGACCAAGGACTGGACTGAAGAAACTCTCAGAAAGACTTGAGAACTGTTGCTCAGGACTAATTAAAAAAAATTACAAGCTCCTCTTTAGGAAGCAAAATATAAAGAAATGACAGGTGGCTCAAGACTTCTGCACAGCACTGTAGTTGAGGTGTAGACTTTTACATTGGAGTTAACAGAATTAGAGAAAAAAAAATACAGATTCTTTCCACTGTGACCTCTAAGGTGAAGGGGGTTAAACTAAAGCACTATATACATACTACCCCTGGATCAGCTGCCCAGTGAATTACATTGAAATATATTTCAATAATAGAAGAGTATGCCCTCCAGTTCTTACACTTTCACTCGGCTTCCTTTTTCATCTTCCACAGACATTTCTGTCATGATTCATTTGTCATTGTGGCCATCTGTACCCTCACCCTTTTTACCAGCTCCCCATATGATCTTCTCTTCTAGTTATTCCCCATCTTTGACAGTCCTTTTCTCCCGCTTCATCACCACCACTACAAGAAAATAACAGTCCTCCTCCTCTGTCCAGCCATCTCTCCCATATGTTCCACACCAGCACAGGCCAGTGCAACAAGCCCATCATCCTGGCACTGATGATACCTTTCTGGGGCTCTTTCATATGCCCTACACTCTTCCAAACATACTTCAAATGCATCCTTTCCAGTGAATACAGACTTGAACCAGCTTCATCTACTTCACCAGTGGTTTACCCTCACAGGAAAAGCAATCAAAAGTTTTTGGTGTCAAGCTCAAAAGACCTATAGATTTTTTTTTTTTTTTTGTAACTGCATTTAGATTAAATATTAGACTTACCTCATTTCCATATACTGCTGTGTTTTCAGTTATGGAAGTGTTCTTCTGCATTCTACCTACACGTTTGCTCAGTCTCAGGGATTTTACAGCTATAACATACAGACATATGTAGGACGTATATGTAGAATGTAGACACAAAGCTCCCTCACAGCAAAGTAACACAACATCTGACTGAAATCTGGTCACATTTGTGGTGTACACTTGAGGGATTGAATTTTTAGAAAAGGAAGAAAATTGTAAAAACTAAATGGACAATTTATATTTTACTTCTTTATAAGCATCATACTTCAAGTCTGACACAGTGACTATATAATGTAGTAGTTAAAAATCTTTTGCCTAACACATGAAAGATCGCTGGTTCTAGCAGCAGAGCAGCCATAAGAAGCTTACTTGAGGTCTAAAACAGCTTGAAAGAGTGATTTATAGATTGATGTATGCACTCTTTATGTTCATATGAAAGTAGATTTGACATAGTTATAGATATTGATAGAAGTCTACAGAGTGCAGTTTTACAGTTCTGTGACTCTGTCCATTATAAATAAGCTATATGTAGACATTAGAGCTAATTCTTATATTTTGCAAACTTTTTAACATATTGTATTCTTTAATTTAGTTCAGTCTTTATTACTGTTCTTATTGACTTGGAGCAACTGTAACCATATCATTTCCTAAGGCAGTGGTTCCCAAACTTTTTTTGCTAGGCCCCCCCTTTGTTTTACAAGAAAAATGTATCCCACTGTAACTTTACTGTGTAAAGAGCTAACATCTCCAAAATGTCAGAAGTAGTTAGTTATTACAAGAAGTGTTTGTGAACTAAAAATGTGGGATACTGTTTGTCCGTGATTTGGAGAGCCCAGCGCGTAGTCACTGGGAAAACCAATTCGGCAGGGGAGACCTACCTTGGCACTTGTGCAGGTGAAGCCAAAGGGAAGATACACTTCACCATATTTTCTAGTCTTTGGCTTGGAAGGAAGTTGGTTTGGAAACATATTTAGCGATGCTTCATCTCCTGCTTTGCCTTTGTGTGGGAGCCCCGTCGAAAACCTGTCCATCATGCTAGCAGTGTCCAAGCGTTCTTTTTTTTTTTCATACCACGCCCCCCCCTGTAATGGCTCCCCCCTCTAGGGTCGGGCCCCACACTTTGGGAACCTCTGTCCTAAGGGATTAACAAAGCATTCAGATTCTGATACTGATGATTCTGACACCATGCACTGGTCCTTAGCAACATGCGCTAATCAACATGCTTCAGCTTGAATTTTATTTTGAAGAAGCGTAGAAAGTTGTGCACCGCAAAGTGTGGTGAGTGGGGTCAGCTGTTAGTGAAGATTGCCTCGATTTAAAAAACAGCATGCACAAAGATGCTGTTTGTTCTTGTGATATTAGCCAGCTCTGATCCTCAACTCAAAAGTTCACATGTCGATTGTTTTCTAAGTTAGCAAGTCTGATGTCCGTGGGGAAACTGTGGGTATGAATGGACAGAAGAGAACCTTCAATGTAAATGTCGATTACGGGTCCATGATAAGACGACCTTGAAGGGAGACTTACCAGTTTTAAAAGTTTTTTTTTTTTAAATTTAATTTAAAAAGTTTGTAATACAGTATGTAGGATTTTGGAGCTTCATGATCACACCCTGTAGGCTTTTCCCCTGATGTTTAGAGTCAGTTTTACATCTACCTCAAGCACTTCAGCTCCATTATATGCAATGCTCACAGAAATCTAATGAAGACACACCAAATTGATGTGTGGTTTTATTAGATTACCGCTATCATCATCACAATGATCAAGGGAATTCGAGAAACTAGTACCCAACCTGTGATTCCTAAGGATTCATAAACATATAATTTCATTGTTTATGAGGCAGTTTTTTTGTTTTTTTTATGAAGGGAAAGTAAAGGTTTACCTCGTGTCCAGTTAAACACTCTGATATATGTGGAAATATTATTATATAGCTAGCTAGCTGTAATGTGCTTTGTGTGTTTGTGTTCTCTTACAGACCAAAGGGGTGCCACTGTTCCCTTGCATGGACTGCAGCTGTGTATTTAAGAAACTTGGCAGTCTGAACGCCCACATCAGCAAAATGCACATATCCGTGATTGAGGTGCCATCCACCACTTCGGTAAGAGAAGGTTGTGTACCAAACGAGAACATCCGCTGGAAAACATTTCTTTGGTCCAGCATCTGAACAGAGGGTTCTTAAGTGTCCTGTGGTCCTCATGTTTAATGTTAACGAGACACCCTGGAGTTTGTTTCCCAAATTAGTTCATACGTAGGCTGTTTGCTTATACTTCAGAAAATTATGCTGTTTTTCTCTTTTTTTTTTCCCTGAGGAAAGAAGTAGCTTCCCATAACTCGATTATGATCCAGAATTATTATCACTTTTTTCAGTGTGCCAGCAGCAGGAAAAACAAAGTGCAGCACTAAAAAAAAACCCTCAGCTGTATTGAATGCAGACAAGTCTAGTTTGATTCACTGTGGTTGGTAGCTTTAGCGAACCCCAGAGGCACTGTTACTGATAATGCTTCTCAAATTGTGGACTTTTATTTCCTTCTTTATCCAAAGATTACTGCACAGGATAAAGGGTTTTAGTTTTTTGTTTTAGTTTGTTTTTTAGTGGTAGATAATGGTTGTGGTTTGTTTTTTTTGCCATTGGTATTTCAATACATCCATGTCACCACTGCTAGAAACTCTAAAAACTTCAATTTTATTGCACTAAAAGAGCAGCACCGTCTTTCAGTTTTGACCTGGTAAAATATTTCCCCCTGCTCTAGAACAATCAAGAACAGCTGCTGCCAAATTTGACCTGGTGTACAGTCATACAATGCAGCATAAAGCCAGTCGTCGCCCTAGTTAGAACGAGAATGGTGTGTTTCCATTATTTGGTTGTTAGCAGGTTATTAATTACAGCCTTCATTATTCAGTGATGATCTACCTGCCATATCTACACTTAAACGAATCTTGTGTTGAGAAGTTGTATCTCCGTGTTAATATGTGCATAAATAATGTGGGCATTAATATTTTATTTAATAATCACCAGTGCTTTGTTTCAAGCTCAACAGAGCCACTAATCAAAGTTAAGTCATCCCACAAATTGTGACCTGTCCCAGCTCTTCGTCACGTTGCTCTGTGTCTTTCTTGGTCCCCTCACCTCTTTTTTTGTCTTTTTTATAGGAGGCTGAAACAACAGGTCAGGCACCAGGGGTGCCAGAAGTTGGCGAGGGAGTGACAGATGTCATCCAGCAACTTCTAGAGCTGTCAGAACAGGTCAGTGGGGAGACAGCCCAGCCTCAGCCCCCAGAGCCAGCTATCACAATGGAAACTGCTATTAACCAGGACATCCTACAGGTGAGTGGCGTGTAATCGCATGATTGTTACAATATAAAAAGCAGTGTCCAGTAACAATCTGGACGACAATCCGCAGCTTGTACATTACCGACATTAATCTTCACTCAATGAGAATGGACTTAAACTGCAGATAAACATGATATATTCAGACATAAGTTTTGAACTAAAAAGACTCCTGAGTGATGAATGATATGCTCTGCTTTCATTTGGTGATTGAATGTCAAGATTTTTCACTGTTCTGCAAACACCATCCATCCAGGAGAGAGGGCAGTTTAACAAATATGCACCAGGAACTTTTAGAGATGAGCATCATCACAGAGTTTAAAACGGCCTCTACTCCCCAGCATGATAAGATATGATTGTCGCTGAACTTTGCTTTGCATCATGGCTTTTTTATTTTTTATTTTAGTGGCCATATTAAAATTATTAGTACATGAATAATGAGATATTTTTAAATAATCACTTTCAGTGTTTTTCAAAGTTTTAAGCAGCAATCGTGTTTTCGATTTTGCTTTTCCCGGAAATATTCTTTGCACTTTGTTAAAAGAACCTCGTTATTTACTGATGTCCACAGGTCCTGCACTTTAAAGGGTTCTCTTTCAAGTAAAAAAAATCCCTTGATTTGTAATGACATTAGTGTGTGTGTGTGTGTGTGTGTTTTACTTTTAAACCGCTAAAAATGAAATGATTTTGTAAAGACGACTGTAATTTCTAAGTTTACACTACAATCACATCTTGATTGCTCGGTTGATTGCTTCTTTTCAAATCCATTGCTGTGGTTATTTGAAATTGCTTGTGTGTGTGAGGTGTGCATGTATATTAAAGTTGTGGTGGTCCTCTGGTACTACAGCAAGCGCTGGAGAACAGCGGGCTGAGTGTGGTCCAACCCCAGAGTGACGCCCCACCAAGAGAGTCAGAGAACCAAACGACCGATGGCGCTGTTGTGGAAAACAAGAAAGTGCAAAGTACAGACAAACTGAACAGGGAGAAAAAGAGGAGCATTTTTAAGAAACCTATACAAATGCCAGGTAGGAGGGGATATTTTACTCTTTATGAGTTTACCCTTTCAGTGAGATTCATTTAATAAATACTGTTACAGAGATAATTGTTTTCTTTTTTTAAAATAAAATTATGTTCTGCCCTTTCCAGGCTCCATCAGGGAGGAGGATGGCGTTCGCTGGCACGGATGCCCCTACTGCTCCAAGGAGTTTAAGAAGCCCAGTGACCTTGTTCGGCATATACGCATCCACACCCACGAGAAGCCTTTCAAGTGCAAACAGTGCTTCAGAGCTTTTGCTGTCAAGAGCACCCTCACAGCACATATGAAGACGCACACGGGTATCAAGGCCTTCGAGTGTCAGAGCTGTCTGAAGTGCTTCTCCACCTCTGGCAGCATGAAAGTGCACATGCGGCTGCATACAGGTGAGAAGCGGGTCCGCTTTGTGAAGGGGTCACACTTAAAGCCATAGCAACTCCAGCACATTTCACTTTATAGAGTCACTCCGTATGTTACATTATTTACTTGTTACTCTAGCATAGTTACTTTAAGCATAAGTTAAAGGAGAAGTGTGTGGGCTCTAAATATGTTTCAGCCGCTGTTATTTAGAATAAATAAGATATGTTGTGGTAAATTATGCAACAAATTGCTCAGGCAGGACCTGCATAAATCTCATGTTGCCACTAAAGCTAGAACCCTCATTTGTATTCATGTATATACTGTATACGCTATATGTGTTTGAGCTACTATGTGCGCCGGTGCATTCGTTTTTGTCTCTCTAATTGCTGTGTAGTGTCACTCTGTTAGGTGTTTACTTTAGTGCTGGTTGTGTGTTAGTTCTAAGGTAAAGTTTTGATAAATGTGTTTTCAGACGTATGTCTCCGAAGGCTTCATGCTTTCAAAGTTTTGTGTCTGTTTTGTTTCATACACTGTTACCTGCTAAATGAAGGCTTTTAACCTTATGCAGCCAAAATGAAAGCAAATTACGAGAGCGTATATTTTTATATGTGTTATGTTTTCATGTTGATTTAGTTAATAACTTTAAAACCTCTATGTGAGTTTAGATTTTCATTTTATTTTATTTTTCTGTTGTTGTTTAGAAAAAGTTATTCTCTAAATATTAATTTTCCAAAACATCTATTTTTTTCCCTGACTTGTTCTAGGTGTGAGGCCTTTCCCCTGCCCTCACTGCGACAAGATCTTTCGTACGTCGGGACACAGGAAAACACACATCGCTTCTCACTTCAAAAGCTTGCAGCAGAAAAAGCATAAATTTCCACGGAAAGCAAACAAAGCCAAAGTGTCCAAAAGCAACCTACCGCTACCAGATATCCCCTTGCAGGAACCCATCCTCATCACCGACTTTGGTAAGAGGGCATGGTGACAGGCACACATATTGGGCGATGCTGCATTATTTTGACCACACAGAAGGCTAGCTGTTGTAAGCTCACGTGTTGTTTTTAACAGGTCTCATCCCATCCCAAAACCCCCGCCTGGCTTTTCAACAGTACCTGGATGTTGTGGCCAATGACCGGCCATACAAGTGCCAGTTCTGCAGTAAAGCCTATAAGAAGTCAAGTCACCTTAAACAGCATGTCAGGTAAAGCTTCTATGTAATAGTGATGTTTCAGTGCATAGTCTCAAAGAGCGAGAACACAATGGCTTTTTGAGGGCCAGTGCAAGTGTTTCTTTTCATAATCTGTTGCTAGTTGCTAGTTTCTTTTTAGAATACAACACAGGTGAAGAGAATTATGGTCAGGATAACCATGTATGTTGAAGGCTGGAGGTGAGAAGAGCAGAACAGAGGAGGCATCACTGACAATAGATCTGACATTTAACAAGTCAGATACTGAATGACAGGAGGACACCACAGGCCATCAAAAGAGGAGACATCTTTGGTTCTGAAATTAGTTTTTGGCAGGATCCACATTGTCAACCTGTTTTTAATGGTCCTCTAGGGATAAACCCTAAAAGTGGAAATAACCTGCAATTTGAATATTTTTCCCCCAAATAACAAAGTTTAGCAAACGCTTGACTTTTTAGATTTGCGTCTAACACGAAATGATTTCACACTGAAGTCAGCAGAGCAGCGTGTCCCACAAATCCTTTCTTAGCTGATCTTATAATGTTAGTCTACATAATCATATCAGAGAAGTATTAACAAGTGTGTACCGCTCAGCAAGGTTTCATTTTGCTTGTCTTAAGCTCATCTGCAGACAGAAGGAAGGAGAAACAGTGGAACAGATTAGAGGGAGTTGGAGGTTTGTTGACAGACATAATGAATTTGGTGAGAATGAAATAAATGAGATTGAATTCATGCAAGAGAAGAAAGAGAGTGTGAAGGGGAAGTACAGAAGAGTTGAAAAAGAGAAATAGCTATATTCAGCAAACCCACTTCAACCTGTAAATATATATATACTCTTAATCCTTTTTTTCCCCAATTTATTTGCTTGTTTTACACCGCACATGGCTGAACTTTATTAACCTTGTTTCAAATGACCCTGTCATTTATGGATGGAGAGCAATAAGTGGTCTAATCACTCAGCTGCTCTGCTCTGTGTATCTCTGTTGAACTTTCTAGCCAATCTTTATGACAGAAATCTAGTCATTTGTCTTTGAGGATAATGATAAATAATGATGCTGCCATGTGTGTAGTGCCTTTTTAATGGCTGGTGCCTCATTATTCTTGTTTTCTGGCAGATTTTGAGTTCTAACTTGTAATGCAAGCTGAGGATCTATGTCTGCCTACCCCTACTGACAGTGCCCTTGAATTACCCATGAACCTGTACTGATACTTAAAAAATTTAGGGAATTTGATTCAAGTTCACCAAGTAATATATCATCCTGACAGGTCATGCTGGACCATGCATAGTGATTTTCCACCTTGTACTAAGGATATACCAATGAATTCTGTTCCTTAGTATTGGCAGCATTCCTCAAAAACTCATCTACAGCAGTGTGCTTGTACCTTTTAGGCTGCTTGATGTCCCAATACACACTGAACCCTGTTTTTGAATGTTGCCAGGTCTCATACAGGAGAAAGGCCCTACAAGTGTGTCCAGTGCAGTCGCAGTTTTGCCTCCTCGGGAGTCCTCAAAGCTCACATCCGAACACATTCGGGGCTAAAGGCATACAGGTGTTGTATGTGCGACACAACGTTCACCACCAGCGGCAGCTTAAGGCGCCACATGACCACTCACAGTGACCTGCGACCTTACATGTGCCCCTACTGCCAGAAGACCTTTAAGTCATCACCTAACTGTAGGAAACACATGAAGACGCACAGGTCTGATTTCTGACAGTCTGCTTTTTCACAGATGGATTGGACTGTTTACAGGGATGTTGTTGTGCTCTGTGAATGTATCAATCAGAGCTATGTCCTGTCAAACCAGGTATGAACTGGCCCAGCAGCTACAACCCCAGTCAGGAGAAGACCCCCTGGGAGCTGGCACTGTAGCCCATGACATGCAAGTGGAAATAGAGGGTGACACTCTCCAGCAAGCCCCGGCTGAAACAGCAGAGCAGCAGAGCATGCTGGGACTGAACCAGACAGAGGTTGTAAATGGAGGCCAGCAAGTGACACTGGACGCAAACCTGACTGTACAAGGAGAAGGTAAGAGCAACTGAATTCATGTCATATTATATAATGGAATATGTGCAAGTTGTGAAAGATTCAGTAGAACTCGTGAAAGCTGTAACACTGAAACCTCATTTTGCAGAGAAAGCGTAGCATTAAATTACCAAATTCTTCCAAAAACTATGTGACTCACCTTCAAGAAAGTTTTCTGAGGTAATCTGTGCGTTGTGTGAGTTAAGTTTCATTGCACTGAAAACTTTCAGTTTTCTTAAACGTGTCAGAGAGCAGAATAACTTCAATGTACCTCCCCATCGTCTCCATCTGTTTGCTCTGTAGACCAACACATATGGTTTCACGCAGTATAGCTCAGCACACAGCCTCCAGAGCTTTAGCACTCCAAGGATAGTAATAGAATGATTAGTAATCCCTCTCTAAGGTCCAGGATCTGGACCCTTAAAGTAAATTGAAAGTCATCTCCAGAAAGAAGCAGCTCAGCCTAGCTGACATCTGAAAACTCTCTAGATTTAAAATGTACATCATGTAGTCAGGTTCCATAATCTTGACCTCAGCTCTCTATATTTGATAAGACTTCATTAATATACAGAAAGCAAATCTACTTTGCATTTAAAGAAGGTACACTGCTAAAAATAAAGTGTAGCTTACAGTATTTTAATATGATACTTATAAATAAATATTGTCACACATAACACACAGTTATTTTTGTTATTCTAAAAATGTTCTGTGCATGTAACTGTGCATGGTGAGCTGTGTTAGTTAGGGAATCTGCAATGTAACTTGCTTTTTTAACCTCAATTGAAAGTTTAACAGTGGAAATATTGCTCTACTGTTTGTTTCTGTGAGCACTAACTAACTTGTTGCTTTGCATCTCTTTCTTTGTCGTGACAGACTCATATGTGACTACCCAGCATGCTTTGCCTCAGAATATCAGCCAGTTTGAGACACCAGCACTTCCTCAGTCTTCATTTGACCAGCAAGCTCTAACACAAGGTATAAACATAGCATGTGTGGGCTGTTATGTGACAAAGATAACATGGTATGTTTATTTGCTATATCGTCTGTGCAAAACACAGGTTCACTGTTTCAGAATTCAAGAGCCAGTAATATATGAAGAGTAGTAGTAACTCGTGCATAGTACCTTTAGTTATATGCACGCTTTCTGTTATAAGGCTTAACTAACAAAGTGTAGGTATTGGCCATATTAGTTATGAAATCTCTTATTTTGAATTAATACCAAAGGAAATCAGTCACACATAAATAGAATTGGTGGAATAACCCTTACTTCAGCTTCACAAAGGTCCCAAATGACAGAGCGGTCGTGGGAGAAAGGAACACTCTTTACAATTCCCACAACAAACCGAGCAACAGTTAATTTCATCAAACTATATATACCCTCTACCAATGTGTCTGGTATCTCCATATGTCTTTTGAAATCAGTGTGTTCTCAAACATTTTTCTTCTTCTTCTTGCACTAACTCACCATGGCGGCTGACTGCTGTTGCCAGCCAGCTTCCTTTGAGATCAGCATCAAACATCTGTGAGGCAAACTGAACTTTTCAATTCTGTGAGGAGGTTCAAGAGATTCTGTTGAACTTCAAACTTGACATGAACAGAGCTGGAGTTGTTGTCATTTTAGGAATGAAGACATATGGATTTGTCAAAAAAATTGATGTGTATGATTAGCTAGGCTTTTCATCATCACTTTATCTTTTTACTCCTGCAGGTCACCTGTCAGGACTGAAGCCTTATTATTTACTAGGGTGTGAAGTACTACAGCTAATGACACTGGTCTCTGGGGGCCTCTGGGAGAAGCCCTGTATTTCTTGCTACTTTATATATGTGTTGTTTACAGTAACTACACTGTGGTTGATTGAAGGTTGATTTAAGGTTCACACACTGTTTCTGCTGCACATTTGGTGGCTCTTAAAAGTGTCACATAAAGAATGTGCCCACACTGCCACTTTATTAACGCTACAGTCACACTAGAGAAAACAGTGATTGAGGTCGCGGCGCGAACAAAAACATTGTGATCGAATACTCTAAGGCAGCGGTCTCCAACCTTTTTTGCGCCACGGACCAGTTTATGCCCGACAATATTTTCACGGACCGGCCTTTAAGGTGTCGCAGATAAATACAACAAAATAAAACTAGTACCGGTACTGAAAAAAGAAGATTTATTCATAACACACGTGAAAAGACCCAGGAAAACCGAGTTAACGATAAAAACGATAACAAAATAACGCTGAAAACCGATAAAAACCCTGAAAACTATACATTTCACACCTGAGCCTCAACTCTCGCGGCCCGGTACCAAACGACTCACGGACCGGTACCGGTCCGAGGCCCAGGGGTTGGGGACCGCTGTTTTAGATCATATCAGTGCTTTTTACATGAAAGCAAACATGTACACATCTGCCTTTACATGGTTAAGTAACTTTGTGACATGCTGAAGTTGGATTGGAGATGGGAAATCAGAAATGGAAGAGGAAAAAAAATCAAACAATTTATTTCACCTCTCATCAGTTCTAAGGTCAAATGGTGGAGAGTCCCAGATTTAAAGGCCAAAGGGGGGGGGGTGTGTACAATGATCTGTTGCTGCCTGCACAAATGCAAATTCACATTAGCTACTTACATTCAGAGTCCAGCCAGGGCATCATAGATTTGGAACATCTGTCTGCTTTTATAAATTAGATTAAATTACTTGCAAACCTTTGCGATTCTGTCCAAGAGTGATTGTAGCCGATCTCCAGATGGGAGACAAACTGCTTTCCTTCAGGCAACCCGTGCAATCGCCTCAAACTGCATGCATGAATGCAAAAACAATTCAAGACAGTCACCTTGTGTTCTTTTAGCCAGTGCAATAATTGCAGAATATTCTTGTAACAGCCTCTAGGGTGTACATCACACAGCATCAGTTCAGCTTTAATTATGTAGCATGGCAACTGTTATCTCAAGGGAAGCTTTACATTGTAATGTAAAGACCTCACAGTATTATAAAGGTAACCTAGAGGTCCCCAATGAGCAGGCGCTTTGCAATAGTGAGGGGGAAAAACACTTTTATCAGGAAGAAGTGGAAAAAAAGCAAAGAGAGAAGAAGAGCACAGATAAACAAACAATACCAGCTATAACAATAAAACACCTTTCTGCTGCAGGCTGAAATCCCAGGGGCGATCTGACACTTTGGAAGACTGATAGTGTTGAGTTCAGCTTTTTTTTTTTTTTAAATCAATAAAAGCCATCCTCCCTGATGGCTGATATTGTGCTGTGTAATGCAGATCTTAGACACTTTTTCAGATTTCATAGATTCCTATTATTATTCCTATTATGTTTTTAGTTGAAAAAAAGTGAAACATGTCTTGTGTTTGGTTTTTTTTTTGTTGTTGTTTTTTTTCAGGTAGACCCAATATTGCTGTCAGCCAGAGGTTAGATCTTTGGATTTGACTATAAACAAGACTGATTATTCTCGTCTGACTCCATCTAGGCTTCACCATCACTGAAACGAGCTACAATCAGCCCCAGTTCTCCACAGTCCAGCAGCTGCAGGACTCCAGCACCCTGGAGTCTCAGGCCCTTTCATCCAGCTATCACCCTCCAAATCTGCTTCATGTCCCACCTGCTGAGGTGGTAAGTTATGAGTAGCTTTCCTTCTTTCATTTTAAATACATCATTACATTTTCATTAGTGTGCAACCACCTGAAACTAAAAATCGTGTTTTCACTGGGTTCAAATCAGCCCACTGGATCTGATATAGAGAGACGGCCCAAAATGTTGCGTATTATTTCTACAGTAGCAAATAAAATGCTAAAAACACAATGAGGTCGCATGACCTTCTTTCATATACTGTCTGTAGACTCTATCATGCATATGTTATGCATATACTAGTGTCAGTAACCTCATTTATTCCCTGTCCTTGAAAGTGCACATGTATTTGTATGTGTTTTAAGTTGAGCCAGTATTGATCTTTTTTTATGCAGACGAATGGGCTTCTTCAGCAGAGCAGTCAAAACGACCTCCAGTTGCCTACAGAGACACAGGAGTACCAGGAAGACTGTGAAGACAACACTAAGAGAGCCTACAGGTGTGTGTGTTTCCATGTACCTATACGACTGTCTTAAGAAATGACTCCCACCTCTTTAGTGTTTAAATTACTATCTTTTAAAAACATCATTAGTTTGAATTACAGCTTCCACACTTCCTTGCCTGTCTGTGCACCCATATTTCTCAAAGGCAGGTTCTGCAGTTTGTCTTTGCTAAATTATTTCAGAAATCTGTCAGGATAGAGGTCACTAGCTGAGCTCTAGTCAAAGGTCTCCTCTCCAGTTTTCTCTGCTTAGGCCAGATGATTCGGGACATTCAGTGAGATTACCAAAACTGTTCTTGTTATATTTGCTACAAGTGACTGTACTTTAAAGTAAATCTTTGCCCATTCTTATGTTGTCCACAATCTGCTCCCTCTATCATCATGACTCACCTCCTCCTGGATTGACTACCTTAAGGCTGATCCATTACAGAAGTGATCTCAACCGTACAATGAGCAGAACCTGGTTTACACCACAGCATTTGGCATTCAGACTGAAGAGTTCAATTTTTATCTCATCAAAGTAGAAAATGTGCCCTTGTGTTGTTTGAGAGCAGTTTTACAGACCACGGGTAATTCGAGGGTAGTGTCAGTCTGCTCATTCCACCATTTAGAGCTGATTTCTGCAGCACTTACGCCTGATGAGTCTGGGTGCTGCAGGTTTTCTGACATGATTGATCATAAACCTCTGCTAGGCTCTCCTGTCCTTTTTTCTTGATCTACAGTCTTGTTATTAATTTTGTGTCGCCTAAATCACCCAAACAATCTGTTTCCAGAGCCTAAAAAGATTAATGATATTAAGTCTTATAAGCAGTGACCTTGAGGAGGCAGATGGTTTATAACTTTGTCCTTAATAACCTTACCTAACTTTGTTATCAGTGTCTTTCAATTTAAACTTTTGCACAGATAAAGCAATAGTATTTACAGAGATTTATTCGCTCATGTGTCTCAGGCTTCTCATTATGTTGAAATGGATTGACATCATTTTTTTGTCTACTTATTTTGCCTTATTTATGGATTTAACTGAAATGAAATTCAATATTATTGGTTTTCTAATTTATTTCTAGTTAGACAGTTGGTGACAGTTTGCTGTCTATCCATACAGTCCATAAAAACTGACCAGAGAATAGTTCAGTTTCTAAATAAATCTAAATACTTTAACTGCACTATGTGGATACTGCTACTGCTACTGGGCCAAACTCTTTTATATTCGAAAAGCTGAGCCTGTAGTTTGTACTAAATTATTCAGTTTAGCTCTGGCAGATGATGTAAAGGCTCACCTGACTGACGAGTGGTCTATCTTTAAAATACAGCCCAGGGCCTTTGCTTCATCATGTCCTCTTCCTATGCCCTGCATTTCTTCTCTTTCTTTTATTATCATTATCAGATAATGCCTTATGCTTTTATGTGGTTTATGGTCACGTTTAAGAGAAGACTAACAGATGTTGCACAAAACCACCAGTTAAAATAAAACATGTTTGCGAAAGGCAAGCTGCTGTTTTCTTAAGCTGTCTTGTGTGTATGTCCTTTCTCTATTTCACAAATAACAAGGCAGTGTAGATCATACGTCCAGTGAAATATTGCTATGTTATTAAAAATGCAATAAAATAATTACATGTTAAGAATTGTTCCAATTCGCATAAATTACTCTCCCAGATCTGGTGAATAACAATAATTCATAAAGATTTACAGCGATTCATTCATTCATGTTGTTGCTGTTTTTTCCATCATCAGGTGCAGTTGGTGCAGTAAAGCCTTTAAAAAGTCAAGCCACTTGAAACAGCACGTGAGATCGCACACTGGGGAGAAACCATTCGGATGTAACCTCTGTGGACGAGCCTTTGTATCAGCTGGAGTACTCAAGTCCCATCTGAATACCCATACAGGTGAGCTCGAGGTCGAGTATGCCATGTTTCACAATGGCATCCTAATTTGCCTAAATTATCTACACTCTAGTCCTTCAAAAGTGGAATAAGTCTATGAACTAAACATACTAAACATGACATTGATTTCATTTTAATTTTTCAATTTGTAAGTCTTTTTCAGGGACTGGCAGTAACAGTAGTGACACCCTAGAGGCTGTCACAAGGATCACACAACACCTTACCTCTGTTCTGTCTTCCCAACAGGAGTGAAGCCCTTTAAGTGTAATGTTTGTGACGCCTCCTTCACCACAAATGGCAGCCTGAATCGCCACATGATCATTCACATCAAGTCTTTCAAATGCTCCATGTGTGATGAGAGCTTCCGGACCAGCCTGCTTTGTAAGAGGCATATGAAAAAGGAGCACGCCATGGACGATCAAAGTAAGCATTACTGCATTGAGTTATACTGTATTTATTTTAAACTATATGGTCTCTCCATCTTACACTGTTATGCAGAGCTGTACATGCACCACTTTTCCTTCAGTGAAGAGTGCCACATTAATCAAGTACAACATACATTATATCAGGCTTCAGCTTGTCTGAGTGCATCTTTGTCTCAGTCCAAGCTGCCTTGCATCAAAAGAAAGTGTCAACCAAAGATAGAAAGTGAAAAAACTGACTCTGTTTATCACAGTTATAGGCCTGGAGTCAAGTCAAGATGTGGAAGAAGAGGAAAATGAAGAGGAAAATGAACAAAAGACATCAAAGAGGAGGGGAATGGAAATTATCACGTTCACTGAAGAGCAGGCAGCCGAATTGGCGAAGGATCCCGGCGAGGAGGCCTCAGTTTCGGAGCGAATACTTTCCCAGTCGGCAGCTGAAAGAGATCGGATCAGTGAGATTAAAGACAAAGCCGTGGAGCTGGAAACCGAACCCAAGTTTGCCAACTGCTGCAATTACTGCCCCAAGAGCTTCAAGAAGCCCAGCGACCTCGTCAGGTAAATGTTGTGCTGCGTATATCAGTTTAGAAGAACTTTGTTTGTCTACAGTAGTCAAAGTCTGAATTGTGTGAGTGTTGATGGTTGGGGGCTTATAGGACTGTGGACCTTATTTAGTTTTACAGCACTTATCTGAACTGAATAATGACACAGCATAATAGCATTAACATTGCTACTGTGTCCTCACACCCACAGTTGGGCTGTGAAAATGCAGTGGAGATTACATTAACCATCTAAAGGAAATAAGAAACAGCCTTAGATATAAATCATCAAGCTACAATTTAATGCATTAAGTAGATGTTGGATAGATTAAAAACAAGCAATAGTTTATATGTATGAAGCCAAGGAAAACAAATCAAGGACATCAGAGAGGAGGTCAAAATAAATGCATTTTAAATCTCTTCAAATTCTGCTCCATGTTATTAAAACTGCACCACAAACACATTTTTTTCATGATCTTTTTCAGTTTCTCAGCTAAACAACTCACCAGAAAGATAAACTGTATGTCCATGGATGATAACCATTTGTATATATCTATTCATATTAGGGTGTGTCTTTACTTTATAATGCATTTAGTTTTTTTAAAAGAAATGTAATCATCACTTTGATATTCTCATGTGTCCTTGTGCTCTTGCAAGTATAACTATATCAATCCTTTTCAATGTCCAGACACATCAGGATCCACACAGGAGAGAGGCCTTACAAGTGTGACGAATGTGGGAAGAGTTTTACAGTGAAGTCGACCCTGGACTGCCACGTTAAAACACATACAGGTTAGTGGTTAATTAGTAGAATATGTTGCTGACTTGTTTGTGTCACCACAAACACCAACCTTACCTTAAAGAAGCTGACACAGTAAGATTGAGCTATGTTAATTCCGTTCGTTTTAGTAGACCTAGCTAGTCATATATTTGTATAACCCTTTTTTTCAAACACACAGTCAAGAATACATTCATACATAACATTAGGTTTTATAAAAATGGCTGTACATCGTAACAAGATGATGCAGTGCTTTAGTAATTTAAAATAAGAGCATGGACCAAAAAGGAGGCCAACTGCTGGAATACAGTCTCAGCAGATCGGCTTATACAGCTCATCTACTGAGAACTTGACATTTGTAGCCATTTAGATGTGATTAATAGCATCTTAAAATGCATTGTGAATTTTACAGGACAACGAGATCACTGAAAAGTGCACGCCTAAAGCAAGTTAATCAAGATAAGAGAAAAAGAAAAAAAAATGTTTATTAAAAGTAGTAAAAGTTATTGGCTGACATTAAAGGTTTTTCTCTTTCTCAGATCAAAGAACCAAGACTAGATTCAAGATTCAAAATTCACATGCTGGTCAAAAATAAACCTGCGGTTTTTAAAGAGCAACGATTCATTTTCAGTTTGCCGCACATAACATCCTCTTTGTTTCTTATTCAGGTCAGAAGCTTTTCAGCTGTCATATGTGCAACACCTCCTTCTCTACAAAGGGGAGCCTGAAGGTGCACATGCGCCTCCACACCGGCTCCAAGCCCTTCAAGTGTCCCTTCTGCGAACTCCGCTTCAGAACTTCGGGTCACCGCAAAACACACATCCAGTGTCACTTCCGTCCAAACGGCGACGGCCGCAAATCCAAGCGTTCTTCCTCGTCCTCCAGTCAGGCCAGACAGGGTCAAGACCCAGCGACTGGGCAGGGTGTGGCTCCAAGTCAGGGGCAGCAGCCAACTGGATCAGAGGCTCTTCAGTCTGTGGGGCTGCTGCAAACACCCAGCGCTGACCCCAGCATTTACCTCCCAGCTAACCAGGTTCTCACAGGACAGTTTGACCAGAATCTACTGCAGTCAGGACTAGTAGGACAGGCCCTCCTGCCCGCCTCCATGTCAGGTAGGGATAATTAATGAGCCATTACTTTAATGCTGTAAAAGAGAGAATTGCAGCAAGAACAATGGTGTTTTGTTTATAACACACCTTTGATTTTAACTGACAGGCCCTAATGTTTTCAGTAAAGCACCATAAGAGCACGAAATGAGTGAAGACTGGTGCCCAAATTTTAATATCCAAGATATCACTGTGCAGTATTATTGACGACCCACTGGCAACACATTTCTTGTGAATGCCACAAAGAGTTACACATTCCTTGGTAGAAATGATAGGTGTACGATTAATGCACCAACAGTTGGTTGTTGTCAGCAGTTGTGACAGGAATGCCCCAGAGGATCATCATTTGTAGTCTCATTGCTTCATATTCAGTTGGCAACATCAAGGGCAAAAAAGGGTTGCACCGCGGCACCCGATGTCAAGCAGACAAAAACACGCCTTCATTGAAGCCCCAGCGCAGTGCGTGGTTGTTTTTGAAGGAAATCGGTCTTTATGTGATGAGAAAAGTCTATCAAAGCATCTCCAAACATTCACAGTGATCGAATAAAAGAAAAGGGAAACAACAAATGATGCAGGGACGACATTGTGATTATTAATTGGGTTTTTGGAGGAGCTCTGATTTCTAAATGCAGCACTGCAGTCAAACATTCGCTAAAATGTTTGAGACGATTAGATTGATGAAGTCTGGCAACATATAAATTTACTTTTCCCACCCTTCACCTGGAGCAGGACAGTGGAGTATTCAGGATTCTTCCCCCCCCCCATGTCTCGCTGTCTCTCAGTGACAATGTACATGTCACTGAAAGCAAACCTCCTCACCCTCTCTCTTTCATCATCTGGGGAATAACTGGATCCAGATTTTTCTTTGTTGTCTGTCAGTCTTTAGCAGGCAAGTTTCATTAGATATTCTGCTCTCATAGAGATTTTTCCATTCCAGAAGAAACCATTAGGGTAGCTATGGTAGCTCAGAAACTCTGCATACAATGTGTTGGAGGTCATGATCTTTGACATCTAATGTAAAATTAAGTTATCTGAAATCAGGGGTAGCCTTATCTCTTGTTTTAAAGTTTTGTTTTAACATAGAAAATTTTTAACTCACATTTTCCTGCTAAGAACTGTTATCCATTAACCGTTAATTATAGTCTTATGTATTATTACATAGCTACTCTCCTGTCAAACATTTACATATGTTTGTGTCTGTGTGTGTGCCTCAGCTGCAGGAGACTTGACCGTGTCGCTCCCAGATGGCCTTACCACGCTGGACGGCATCCACTTGCAGCTGACGCCCGCCAACCTGGTGTGTCCCAACGTCCAGATCTCCGGCATCGACACCAGCAACATCAACAACATCACACTACAGGTTACACATCACGCCTGCCGAACTCTGTGTTATTATCCATATTACTATCCATGTCTAGCCAGCCCAATGTAGGTTGAGATGTGCTCCGAAGAAAACGTGTTTGAGTAATGGTTATTGAAATAGTGTAAGCTATTGAAGGGTGAGTGGTGGCAGGGTGGCAGTCATGCTTCTGAGTAATCGACAGGGAGGCACATCCTATAGTGATACATGCTAGGAATGAGAACAGTGTCAGTCAACAAAGTCATACATAAAACTTTGAAAATGTTTAAAAGCATTGAAAGGAAATCTTATCATTACTTTATTCCATAATGTAAAAGAAAAGAAAATCCTAACATTGTTGCTGATTCCCCCACACATGCTCTCCTTCATTTTCAAGTTAAGTAATACTCACTCCTTTCAGATCGATCCCGCCCTCCTGCAGCAGACTCTACAGCAAGGCGGCCTCCTCTCGCAGCCCCTGAGTGTCGATACAGGTCTGGTCTCCCACTCAGGGAGCCAGCTCATGTCTACGACTGACACCTCAGTGTCTGCCAACGTTGTCATCCACCCACTGACCAGCCTGGCCTTGCAGCCCTCCACTATCACACCTGCGCAGGTCACAATGGCTGGACTATCTGAGCAGGATGCTGCCAGTATGTATGACAGCTCTAAGTGGAAAAAAACATACAGAGTGGCCACATTGTACTAGGAGGTCACCATCTGTGTTATGTTGCTGTGGGTTGTGCAGGTTCTCAGGACCTAAGCAATGTCATGGGCAGCTCTGCGCTAGTGGCAGGTGGCAACAGCGGTCAGGAGATCACCCTGACCATCAACAACTCCAGCCTGACACAAGCTCTCGCCCAAGTCCAGGCTTCAGCTGCTGGTTCTGGCACAGCAGGAGGAAATCCTCAGGAGATCACCCTCACCATATCAGGTAGAAACAAAAATATCAAATACCAAAAATACACAGCTCTGCTGAACATGTTTTTTAGTAAAGGCAGAAAGGGGCTATTGATAACAAACATGGGAAAATAATAATAAAAAAAAGCTCTCAACTATCACTATTGATTTTCTCACTCAGGCAAACACACTAGCAGGCAAAGAGGAAAAAATGAAGCCAATAATAACTCAGAGCCACTCCACAAACCCAGATCTAAAGACACTCTATTAGAGGCCATTTTTCAGCTTTTGTATACACCATCAGCATCACCCATTTGGCTGTATCATCTGGGGATTTAAAGTTCGTTGCATCAACAATGTGAAGGAGGGATGTAGCTGTATCACTAAGCCTGCTAAGTCTACTCAGCTCAATCTCTCTTTCATTTCAGCCCTCTGACTTATTGTATCGTGATTGCAGTCTTAAAGCTTTAAGAAGCTATTCTCATTTTAAGTTTTTTATTTATGAATAAGTGCAGTCATAAAAACAGCATTGTATGCAGTTCCATCAAAAATAAGATTTTTTCCTGCCCAGGCAGCAGAAATTGTTGGGCTGGAAATTCATCGTCTTAAGAGAGAAAAATGTTATCAGTCATATTCTTCTTATTTTAGTGTGACAATATGTTTGGTTAATAAAAGTTAAGCACTTATTAAACTACACTGTATGTGGCATTGCATGGCATATTAATCATGTGTAAAACCTAATTCAATTAACCCTGAAGGAATTTTGTTGAGTTACTTTGTTTGAATCTTACTTTGTTACTTTGTTTGCGTTTGACCACCCTTCAAAATATGAACTACATTTCAGAAAACACTTAGCATCTTTATAATAGAAGCAAATAACCTCATGAAAATAATTAAAGCTCATGTTCTACAATACAATTGCAGGTCAGGATCTGCTCCCCCAGCCAAACAATCCCAGTGCCGCTGAGATGAACGGCAGCATCAGGCTAGCGTCACCGCTAAACGGCCAAACCACCAGTGCAACTCTGACCATCACCAATGACCACCTGCTACCTCAAAGCCCCGCCAATACTGGAAATGCTGGTAAGACTATACCCGTCTTCTAACCGCGTGTGATAAGAGATTTGCATTCTTTCCAAACGATTTTTACAGCTTACTTCAAATATGCATCTGCATGTAATATTGCCCTGGTCATGAAAGACATGCATGACCAGAGAAGATCCTGAATTTGACTTGCACCTTCTTTCACAAAAGCCATTTTTTCAAAAGCTAAAATACAGTAGCTGGCATGACTTGCAGACTTGCAGTTGCTCTCCATGATCTGAAAAAGATATGCCTGTTTATCAGACTCCTATAAAGGCTGTTATGTTTTTCCTCCACGTTGTTTACACTCTCTCAGCCCTGAAGCATCCCTTCTGTGCTGCTGCACGCACTCTTTCGTTCATCCTCTTATGACTTGCAACTGCCAACATTTTGTTTTCATTCACATTTTGTTCAGGATCCCAACAGATTTCCTTTGACTTTTTTTGTAATATGACAAGACTTTTGGGTTTCAGAGAAACTAAACTTTATTAGAAGTAGAGGGTTCTACTTCACCAGCACAAACTGTGAGAGGTCCCCCAACTGTGGAGAGATCAAAGTGCACGAGGAAAGCTGCCAGATAGATTTTCAAACCTGAGAAACCCTAATCGTCTGCCATGTCCAGATCACTCAAGAGATATTAAAAAATTGCTATGACAAAAATGAAGCTTGAACTTTTCTGCTCTCTAACAGGGAGCGTGCCAGAAAAATTGCAACTCAGGGTTGTGTTTTTTTTATTTTTATTTTTTCTCCAGACAAAAAGCTAAAGCAGGCTCGTCAATTGTTGCAATTGACTGTCAATGCTGCTGGATTCAAGTGTTTTAGAACCCCTCAATTCGAATGCTAGCAGCTAATTTTGACAGATGGTTAACACCTCTTTCTTTAGCTACCCACTTATGTCTGTTTTTAGGGTTGCAGCTATCGATTGTTACATTGACTGATTGACTAATTTGATAATAAATACTTCTGTCTTCTTAATAAGCATTAGTAAAGATTCGAAAGAGAAAAAAATTACAGGTCTTTCAAAATGAGCTGCTCATTGGTTTCCATGTTAGAAATTCCAGTGTTTTACAGTGCATACAGCATCTGTCAAAAAAAAGAAAAACAGCTTACAGTTTTTTACAGACGCTAGGACACATTTCTCAATACTTAGGTCACTTTTGCAAAACTCCTCACACAGTGAGCACAACAGAAGTCTATGTGGGCTAAACTGAGGACCAGTTATCATTGTTTTGGCACAAAATGCATTCAATGACTACATCTCTCAAATTTCATGAATTATTTTCTCACTCAGACACAACAACTGCCAAAAATCTTTGTACGTACAGGACATTTTGCATGTGCTTACATACTGTTTTCAAAACTGTTAAACCAATGGCCAAAACAATAACACAATGCAAAGCTTAAAAAGACAGCAAAATTCAACAGCAATATTTTAGTGAAACATATTTTAAATCTAAAAATCCAGTTTAACCAGCCACAGCTTATTCTCATTGTAGATGAACATCTACACAGGTGTTACTCCTTCAATTTTTCAACTCCTTCAATTCTGGCATGCCAGAAGATTCTTTCCTAGGTGTGTTGCCCTAGATGACATAAGATGTGATGTGGATGAGAACCTGTGGCCAAATGGAGAAGACCGAGTAGATTACCGTAGTATTACTATTGTATGTGTATCAGTGGATGGTGTGTATACAAATTCTTGTATTTTGGGATTACTTAGTGCAAAAAAATAAAAATACATAAACAAATATTAACGAATTCTGCATGATGTCTGATTCATTCCAGTAACATATATTGAAATTATAAACAGAGATGCATCCTTGTTTTACACAAGAAAACACTGTGTAATGCTACATGTTGTTAGTGTTTTTTAGGTCATTGTTTTGTGGGTGACAAAGTGTGTTTGTCGGCTGTCAACCTTTGCTAGTGTTCTGGAAGAATGAGTTTATTTGAGACCTGAATAAAGTGTTTTGGTAGTTGTAGTGCATTTTGAATGTGAAATGAACTGCTTTGCCAAGCTGAAGGTCAGTTAGGAGGATTGTGTGAAGAGTTTTGCAAAAGTGACCTAAGTATTGTGAAATGTGTCCTAGCGGCTGTAAAAAACTGTAACCCCGTGACCCTGTTTATATATATTTTTAAAGAAAATATTATATTAAATGCAAAAATATATAAATACTCTCAAGTCAAATAAAAAAGATATATATGCAATATAAAGAAAGGCATAAACATTGATCTTAATTTTGTTATTTTGGAAAGATTTCTGACATTAGTAGGAGGTAAAAAGAGTTCTGAAAGTGAAGATTTTTGTGGCGTTTGTATCTGTGAGTTTTTATGCTGTGCAAGTTCAAGTGTACAACTGAATGAGTGAGTTTGTGCCTTTAAAACCTAACAACACTGAGGTCAGTGGGGTTTTACTGGCTTTGATCTGAAAAAAGTAGAAAAATGAAATAAAATGTAAAAATGAAAGCCTTGAAATAAATATGGTCCAGTACACCCCATGCCCCCCTTTAGACTCACTCCTGTTCACCTCCATGTAAAATAGGACAAGCAGTACAATTTAAACATATTATCAAACTGAATTAGCAGTTTATCAGCATACTTTAATACAACTTCTGGAAGCTTGAATAACTACTTTATAGTTATGAAGTCCAGTCTGTCAGATAGCTTGTCACCTAGAAGCCTGATCAAATTTTCAGTCTCATCTATATCTCTTCATTACCTTCCACTTAACTCAAGTGGAAAGAAAAATAATAATAATAATGTTCCCACAGCTTCTCTCAGACACACAGAGCATCTTTGATTTTGTTGCTTTGGCTAAAACCTTCCTGTCACTCTGTCTGCAGACACGGTCCAACCCGTGATTTGACTGAGAAACTGTATTTTTATTCAAACCAAATATTGTCTAGTTTTGTGCGTCTCTAATGCAATATCCTCCCAAACCTAATGAATCTGCCAGTGTTAGTTTCAGTCAGAGAGCAAAGCACCAAAAGAGCTGTGGTTGCCAGCCCAAACCCTCATCTGTCTCAGAAGGTGTCCCAGATTTGTGTGAGAGGATACTTGTCAAAAGACTGTTCTTTAAAACGTGGAGTGAAATTATCCTTCATTCTGGCCAGCCAGAGATATGATTTCATAGACCCAACAGGAAATGAAAACTGCTCTGATAAGGCAGAATGAGAGGCGAGGTTAGTGAATGTAAGTGGGCTAAAACTGCAGTTTTCCGTTGTCACAGACAGCCAGAGTTTTACGCCGGATTCTCTCCCTGACGTAACCCCAAAGGGGATTTTTGTCTGTAATTGAACCAGTGACCCTTCATTTGCCAAGAACATTTGTTAACCACTACACCAATGGAGACACTAATATTGAAAAAGGTTTTGTGGAGAAGTGAAAAATGAGCCTTTTTATGGCATCCAGGTCTGTTGTGTCTAAGAGGATAATGTTCATTTAAACACAGTTTCTTTGTATGTCTGCATTTTGCGCACAGTTGCTGGTGGCATAAACCAGCTGGGTATTAACCTTTTAACCACTCTCTCCTGTCAGTCACCAGTCTGCCACCAAGCACCACCCTGTCTCACACTGCTGCCTCCCAGAGCCTAGTGATGTCACCAGGAACTATGGCCAGTGATGGCAGCGTCACACTAACCCTTGCAGATGCTCAGGGCATGCTGGATGGCGTCACCTTAAACCTCAATACACAGGTATAAAAAAACCCAAATGTCCAGCACAATTTACAGACTGTAGTAGCTGCTATTTTGCATTATTACTAATTTAACATGACAATCAAAATGTGTCAGACATGAGTTATGTCATGAAGCGCTTTTTCAATGTATATTTTGTTTTTTAGGGTCAGACTTTCCCTGCAGTACTGAATGATTCTGGCCTAACAGGACAGCCAGGGACCACAGGCCAGCAGGTCATACTGGTTAGCCACCAGTCCCAGTCCGCAAATGGAGCAACAGACAATGGATATACTGTAAGTATATTTGTTTTGTTTGCTTCACCAATCCAGGGGAAGAGCTCAAAGAGTGCCTGTCAGCTGATGTTTATACCATCACCATTATGCATTGTAAGCTCTTTGTCTTTGTGCGTGCTTCAGATTTCCACTGATAAGGGTGGGAAAGAGCTCCAGGTGGATACTGATAACCGAAATCAGTGTTTCTACTGTAATCAAGTGTGCCAGAATGCCAATACACTGCGACGTCACTGCAGACAGGCTCACGGCAAGGACCGCTGTCATGTCTGCAGCCTCTGTAGAAAGGCCTTCAAGCGAGCTACACACCTGAAAGTAAGAACTTATACAGACACAGCCTGTTGAAAAATTGTTTTAAATCTAAGCTGCTGAGAGCATTTATCTAAATCATCCAGCTATTGGAATACAGGAAAAAAACCCTGCTTTTTATATAAAGACATAGAAATGATAAATGACCCTTTTTAGGTTTTATTAAAGCAGTATGTCAACTTGCATGGCACGGTTTGTTTTTTTATTTTATTTTTATTAGTCAGTGCATCTACCTTAGGTGTGAAAGTTATAGATTTGAAAACTGCAGGAAAAGTAGCTTCACATTTTAATGCATCAAAAAACTCAATACAGCACAGCCTGTGTACGGGTAAATCTTCAAGTTGCAGTCCCTGTCACTTTTAACTACACAACAAAGCAATCAGACTGTGAAGGAGCGTGCATGCTTCTCTTTGCCACTGACCTTCTTCACAGTCAAGCACACAAATGCCAGGGAGAAGGAAGACACAGCTCTATACTCAAGCCCTCTTCCTGCTATTTTTCGTGTTTCTTCTCAAAGGCCACAAAGTGAAAGCCCTTTTTTTTTCTGTAAATGTGCCCCAGTGCGTTGAACAGTAACTGTCTCCCATGAATGTAGTGCAGTGGAGATTAATTGCTGTCACACAGAGAGCGGCTGACCTCTTTCCACATCCCTGAGACTCTTTATTAGTCTACAACCAGAAGTTGGATGTTGACGGGTTTTTTAAAATGAATTAGTCCTGCAGTTATTTTTCATTTTTTCTGTTGGACCCCAGATAATGATTTGGCTTTTTTAATTACAGCCAGACATGAAAAAACTTTAGCTTCATAATATACTGAAAAAATTAACTGCACACTTACAGAATACCCAATCCGTTTTTGCTTCAAAGCAAATTCCTCCGGAAATATCAGGAATACAGATACATTAATAATGTGGTACAATTGTACAGTAGTCCACTGTCATAAATCACTGGAGCTTTTTAAGCTGCAATAGAATATTTACCTCAATTAATATATAATAACTCACTGCCTTTTTTGCCAAAAGTTAAGGAGGTGTCTTTTGTGTGTATATCAGAGATAAATCTACAGCCAGGATAGCTTACAGTGTAGAAATGGGAGACTGACTAGCCTAGCTCACGCCAGATGTAACAAAATCACCCTATCAGTTATTCAGTGTACACCATAGTGTGTTTTTTGTCAGCTCTTTTACTTTTGTTGCTATGATACTAGATAGTCACCGAATAAAAGTGTCACTGCTTAACTGTTAGAGCCACAGTGAACAAAATGTTCCTCCAAACATTATTTTTCATATCAGCAATGTAGTGTACTTGCAACCCAGTATCGTGATAGCCTCGAATTTCATTTGCTACATGTATGAATATTCAGAGGGCTGCACTATTGACTTCTACTTCATTAGAGTTTAGCATTTGTACAGCTAGGATGTAATAGCTGGTCAGTGTTGGTTACTTGGAAAATTGAGGGAAAAAAATCCATGAATCCACATGGTAGGATTTGTAAAGAATTTATTCGTAAATCAGGGTGGAAAATAAGTATTTGGTCAATAACAAAAATACAACTCAATACTTTGTAACATAACCTTTGTTGGCAATAACAGAGGTCAAACGTTTACTATAGGTCTTTACCAGGTTTGCACACACAGTAGCTGGTATTTTGGCCCATTCCTCCATGCAGATCTTCTCGAGAGCAGTGATGTTTTGGGGCTGTCGCCGAGCAACACAGACTTTCAACTCCCGCCACAGATTTTCTATGGGGTTGAGGTCTGGAGACTGGCTAGGCCACTCCAGGACTTTCAAATGCTTCTTACGGAGCCACTCCTTTGTTGCCCGGGCGGTGTGTTTTGGATCATTGTCATGTTGGAAGACCCAGCCTCGTTTCAGCTTCAAAGTTCTCACTGATGGAAGGAGGTTTTGGCTCAAAATCTCACGATACATGGCCCCATTCATTCTGTCCTTAACACGGATCAGTCGTCCTGTCCCCTTGGCAGAAAAACAGCCCCATAGCATGATGTTTCCACCCCCATGCTTCACAGTAGGTATGGTGTTCTTGGGATGCAACTCAGTATTCTTCTTCCTCCAAACACGACGAGTTGACTTTATACCAAAAAGTTCTACTTTGGTTTCATCTGACCACATGACATTCTCCCAATCCTCTGCTGTATCATCCATGTGCTCTCTGGCAAACTTCAGACGGGCCTGGACATGCACTGGCTTCAGCAGCGGAACACGTCTGGCACTGCGGGATTTGATTCCCTGCCGTTGTAGTGTGTTACTGATGGTGACCTTTGTTACTTTGGTCCCAGCTCTCTGCAGGTCATTCACCAGGTCCCCCCGTGTGGTTCTGGGATCTTTGCTCACCGTTCTCATGATCATTTTGACCCCACAGGATGAGATCTTGCGTGGAGCCCCAGATCGAGGGAGATTATCAGTGGTCTTGTATGTCTTCCATTTTCTGATGATTGCTCCCACAGTTGATTTTTTCACACCAAGCTGCTTGCCTATTGTAGATTCACTCTTCCCAGTCTGGTGCAGGTCTACAATACTTTTCCTGGTGTCCTTCGAAAGCTCTTTGGTCTTGGCCATGGCAGAGTTTGGAGTCTGACTGTTTGAGGCTGTGGACAGGTGTCTTTTATACAGATGATGAGTTCAAACAGGTGCCATTCATACAGGTAACGAGTGGGGGACAGAAAAGCTTCTTACAGAGGACGTTACAGGTCTGTGAGTGCCAGAGATTTTCCTTGTTTGAGGTGACCAAATACTTATTTTCCACCCTGATTTACGAATAAATTCTTTACAAATCCTACCATGTGAATTCATGGATTTTTTTTTTCACATTCTGTCTCTCACAGTTGAAGTGTACCTCTGGTGCAAATTACTGACCTCTGTCATCATTTTCAGTGGGGGAACTTGCACAATCGGTGGCTGACTAAATACTTTTTTGCCCCACTGTAAGTAGTGTTAGATTTCCTTGATAATACAAAAAAGCACTACCACGGTACTAAAACTAGCTTAAAATGTTGTCTGATAATAGTAATATATAAATAGAACGTGGAGCACAGAAATGTGAGAGGTAATATATCTTCAGTAATTCAGAAATGATGACTACCTTACATAGATTTATGTCATTGAGATCAGTACTCCTGATCAACACTGATCTTAATAAACATTTACTGAGATGAGCATATTTTTATTAATCCTTTATTTATCCAGGTAAAAAATCTCATTGAGATTAAAAATCTCATTTCCAAGAGAGACCTGGCAGTATATTAATACTGGGTGTAATTAATCTCCTTGTGTTGTCAAAGCAGCCCTAATTCTCTGTGACAAGGTCAAAGGATGCTGCTAATTTCTTTGAGGAATACAAATACAAATGATGAAATACAAATATTTGTGCAGGTTTTTCGCACTGATGCTGTGAGCGCCTGTCTGTTGAGGACAGAGTTAGACTGTAACTGTAAACTCATTTTATCTGCAGGAACATAAACGAGTGCACCAGCCGGGCCCGTCACCCAGCTCCCAGAAGCCCAGAGTCTTCAGTTGTTCCTCCTGCGTAAAAGCCTTCGCCAAGCGCAGTCAGCTGGAGAGACACAATCGAACGCACACAGGTGACAAAACACTGTCGTTCATTATAGTTTAAAATCCCAAACCCTAATCTGACAGTAGATGTAAAAGGCTGAGATGGTTTGGACATGTTCAGAGGAGGGGTGGTAGATAAGAGGAAAGAGTCTGCTATTGTTTTAGAAATACAAACGACCGTGTATTTTCTTTGATATTAACATCATTTCAAAGCTTGAAGACTTATTTATTTTTCGACATAATCGCCATTTTGGTCGATTTTTAAACGCTGTGGCAGTTTTATAATACCCATGTCATACCCGCTTGCTGCCACTGTAGCAGAATCGCCTTCCGGACAAATGTTCTTTCACCTTGGCAACATGTTGTAGTCACTGGGTTGTAGTACAGGCCGTTTTTAAAAAAAAAAAAGTAATATGTAATAAATAGTGTTGTGTATATACAGTTGAGTTATTGCACATAGGATTGGTATTGCACAGTGGTGGTCCATAGAGGAAGTGGGAAGAAGAAATAAAAAATTTTGGGGGGGGGGCTGTGTTATCGGTGCATGTGTGAGTTCAGGTGAGTTATGGCTTTGGGAAAGAAACAGTTTTGGAGTCTGTGGGTTTTTGTGCTGATGCACCTGTAGCGCAGGCTGAACATGTTGAAACCAGGGTGGGAGCTGTCCTTGATAATGTTTGCTGCTCTGCTGAGGCTGCGGGAGGAATAAATGTCCATCAGGGAGGGGAGAGGGCAGCCGATCATCTTCTGTGCTGTCTTGACCACACTCTGAAGCCTCACTCTATCCGCCTTGGTGCAGCTGCCTTACCATACCGTGATGCAGTAGGTTAGCAGGCTCTCAATGGATGAGCGGTAGAAGGTCAGCAGCAGGTTGGAGTTCAGCTTGTACTTCCTGATGACTCTCAGGAAGTGCAGCCGCTGTTGGGCCCTCTTGACAACCGCTGAGATATTGTCTGTCCAGGAGATGTCAGCAGAGATGAGGACACCAAGGAACCGGAAGGTGTGGACCCTCTCCACACACTCCCCATTGATGTAAAGGGGGGCCAAGTCAGTGCTGTGTCTCCTGAAGTCAACAATGAGCTCTTTGGTTTTCTTAGTGTTCAGTGCCAGGTTGTTTTCTGAACACCATGCTGCCAGCTTCAGGACTTCCTCTCTGTAGTCTGCCTCGTCTCCCTTTGAGATGAGTCCGACTACCGTGGTGTCATCAGCAAACTTGATGATGAGAGTGTTGTTGTGGGTCGAACTGCAGTCGTGGGTGTAGAGAGAATACAGGAGGGGGCTCAGCACACAGCCCTGTGGGGAGCTGGTGCTCAGTGTGCGAGTGAAGGAGAGATGAGGGCCGAGTCTTACAGTCTGGGGCCGGTTTGTGAGAAAGTCCTTTATCCAGGCACATGTGAAAGGAGGGAGGCCAAGAGTGACCAGTTTGGTGATGAGGATGTCCGGGATGATTGTATTAAAGGCTGAGCTGTAGTCCACGAAGAGCATTCGGACGTAGTTCTGCCACTGCTCTAGGTGACTCAGCACAGCGTGGAGGGCTGTGGCAATGCTGACAGGTACTGTGAAACACTGGAAAAACTGAGACGGGCATTTCAGAACTGGAGAACAGGAATACTGAGCAAGGGCGTAAGCATTCTCCACGACACCGCGCGTCCACAAGTCGCCCGTCATAAATACACGGTTGTTTGTATTTCTAAAACAATAGGAGACCTTACTTTTGGGATTGCCCTCGTACATTAACTCCTTTGTTGAGACTAATAATATGATTATTGAAAAAAAGTGGGATTTCAAGCAGTGTGTGTCATATTAAGCAGCTACAATCTTCCCCTTTCAGGCTCACTAATTCAAAAACTTATGCAAAGTTTATAAGCACATAAAAAACATATTTCTGTCCTATCTTTCATTGGATCTCTCTCTGCTGGGTTAGCTCATAATTTTGTGCTGCGGGGTTTGTTATGCTTTATCTTTTAGCAGAAAACCCCCCAGAAATGTTCCACTTCCCCTTTGCTCCCAGCTTACGACTGACGTTTGTCACTGCTTGTTATCTCATGCCTAGCTTAACAGACGTGACAGGCCCTGAAATGAAAAATGTTTGAGGAGAAGCGACTCTGGTTGTGTAGCCCTGAATTCCTTAGGAATAGGAGCTGTTTCTTTGGTTAGTTTTGTACAGCAAGTTAGTGCAAAGAGTTGTAGCTTAAGCATAAACAATGTAGGCATAGCTGCTTTGCCTGTGTGTCAGAAGATGTGAAATAAATTGTGTCTTGAGGGGAAAAAGAATATGATTTCTTTACATGGCCATTATCACAATAGCATCCAGCTGCTTCGGTTCAGCTGGATGCTGATTTGTTTGTTTCAGCAGGACACGGCATTAATACGTGAAGAGTTTTCTTACATCTGGCGTACTGAAGGGTCTGCATTTTAGATCCCAGTAACTGAACTGCAGGAGACTGCAGCATTAAAAACACTTGCTTTAGGTTCACCATCTCTCCTTAATGAAACCAGAAAATCACCACCTCTAAATGCACACTCCTACAGTAACAGTGACCTTTCAGCACCCTCATCAAGGACGCAGCGGGTTATGGCAGTTTAATTTCGACACCTAGAAAATTACTCACAAGAGGAAACATGTCAGAATTTGTGTGGCTTTTGTTTCCTACTCAGATTGTAGTACACTTTTGTTAATAACATAGCTTGTGAAAGCAGTTTGTGCACAATGCAGTTCACTTCACAGCTGCTTATTTACAGGAATAAAATCCTTATATCATTATCCATCAATGGGAGCGTTTTGTTCAGCTGTTTGTGAACCAGAGGAGAATCTTTACTAAGAATGTACACAGTATGTTTACGTTTTTGAACATATTGGGGTAGCATCTGTTGATGCTGATTAAACTGTGGGCCTGTGTGTTACTGCAGGTGAGCGGCCTTTCAAGTGCACTCAGTGTGACAAGGCCTTCAACCAGAAGAGCGCTCTGCAGGTCCACATGGTCAAACACACTGGAAAGAAGCCATTCAAGTGTGAGGTGTGCAACATCAGATTCACCCAGAAAAGCAACATGAAGCATCACATGAAGAGATCGCACGGCTACGGTAAGCGCCCGGGTGTCACGGCACTAATTAGAAAAAACCCCGCATCTCTCTCCTGTTAGATTCTCTTTCAGTCAGAAAAAAAATGTTTCCAAGGTCATTGAGGAATTTAGCGCGTCACAAAAAAGTCTTTGTGTCTCTTAGTGTCAAGGTTACATTTCCTACACGGTGGGAATGGTGAACATTAAAAGGTGTCTCTGAGCGCTTAAATGATTGAAAAGCACTACAGGCTGTCCCCATTAGAAAAAACACACACCATCTCTCATCCTCGCATGTAGTATCTGTGGGGCTTCACTTCATGATCCTTCTCATTAAGAATGAGTTGTTAGAATGCCAACACTCAGTCTCATCAAACACACACACACACGTGCAGTCGCCTTCATCTTGCAGGCTTGGTGAAGCTTCACAGCAGGGGAGCTTTGCTGAGTGGTCCATCAGCTGTTCCCAGAAGCCTCCACTTTGATATCTATCATTGACATGAATGTTAATTTATTGTCTTTCAAAGTTTACCCCAAGACCCTCTTTTGTTTAACCTTGGACACATACACAGTGTTCGCTGTTCTGGGAACCTGAGCGGTACATACTGAGGAGGGCCTGAGGAGGAGAACAGAGCTGTCAGATCTGTTTAACAGAACAGCTTATTTAACTTGAAATCCAGCTCCGCAAAAGGTTCCTGCTCTGTACCCTCTGGCTGAATAAAGAAAACCAAGTGTCTTTTTCAAAGTTGTTTTTTTACTTTTATAGTTATCCAAATCTTAAAGACATGCCGAAATTAAAAGAATATGTTTTGAGGTTGACTAATGTCTCATATTTTCAGAAAACAACAAAGTCACGCAGCATGAAATGCGTGACTGATTCTTGCTACAGTGCAGATAAGACACAAAGCAGCCGTGTCCACGCACTTGAAAACTGTGTTTTCAACTTACAGACACAGTGTGTGCAAATCACAGCGACAGGGCAGAATATTAATGTGTGATTCAAAACGCAGCCACCTGCTCTTCTTTGTGTTAGCGGCCTGGCTTCTCAATGAGGGTTTTTTATAAGCTTTTCATCAACATCTTGTACAAGAACGGTTAGACGCTTGTGTGGGACCATGTGATCAAGGTACAAACATTTGAGTAAAGTGAGAGTTTTCAGGCAGTATAATGTCTTCAGCACATCTTCTTTGTTTTTCAAGCTGAGATTCATCTCCAATGTCCTAACCACTATTTTCCAGGTGGCCAGTAAATCTTGGAGCTTTTATTTGTCTACCTATCTCATATCATGAGCCAGCTGTATCAGTACACTGGAATTTAGAGGTCTTTAGTGAACTTAAGTTTCTCAAATACGGGGTTTAATAATAATAATAATAATAATAATAATATAATGGATTGCATTTATATAGCGCTTTTCAAGGCACCTAAAGTGCTTTACAATTCCACTATTCATTCACTCTCACGTTCACACACTGGTGGAGGCAAGCTACAGTTGCAGCCACAGCTGCCCTGGGGCAGAAGCCTCGCTTCTGCCACCGCTTCTGCCATATCGCGCCATCGGCCCCTCTGGCTATCACCAGTAGGAGGTAGGTGAAGTGTCTTGCCCAAGGACACAACGACCAGGACAGAGGAACAACCT